GTGAATAAGATGAGACGGTCCATCAGGGTGCTTGGTACCTATGTGGTTGCGCAACAGGATTGAACTATACTATTCAGATTGTAGCGTTTACGTCTATATAGTGTCTGGTTCTCCTGTGAAGCGGGGTCGGGCTGTACTGTTCAGGTTATAAAGTTTAAACCTGGGTAATATCTGGTTTTTCTGCAAGTGGGATTGAGCTGTACTATTCAGATTGTAGCGTTTAGGCCTATATGGTGTCTAGTTCTCTTGTGAAGCGGGATTGAGCTATGCTGTTTAGATTGTCACATGAAAATCTGGATGATGTGTGGTTCTCCTGAAAATCAATCTAAAATTACCCTGACCCACAGAGGTATATATTTTATTATCTAACCATGAATAAGATGAGAAAATAGTTGACAGCTTAATAGAACACAGATTTACTATTTACCGGTGTTTTAATTTTATCGATTACTCTTTCAATTAGTTTCTATGTCAAATTATTCAAATCTTATGAGAATCAAATTGTGAAAAGCCAAAAAAAACCCATAGATTCTCATGAATATATTACTAAATTTCAATGATTAATGTAACTAAATTAAACGAAATTTGTCTAGTACCATTTCTATTCAAACAAACAAACAGACAAACAGAATTCAATTTACAAAATAGAAGCAAACTTATTGGACATTGAATTTTGTAACAGTTTAATGGATCATTCTTTTAGAAAGAGAAAAAAACAAAAGAAATACATAGCGCTATCTGTCTATTTAATCTGTTTAATGTGTATCATATTAATGTCTGTTATAAATTTATATCTAATATGTGTATAGTAAGACAGGCAAATAATAAGTCTGTCTAGAATGATAAATCGATTGGAAAATTCCAACCCAGCTACCCTTGAATTATATATATATATACATATATCAGAATGGAATTTGTGGAGACTCACACTGGTCACAACTTTTCACTAGAACTTCAGAAAATCATCTTGAAACGTAATCATTTATGGATTGGTGGAAGTTAGACATAAACACCGTTGGATATCGGTCCACTGGTCTAGAGGTTAAACGTTAGCGAGTGAGACCTAAGGTCATGGGTCTGTGAGTACACACTAGTGAGAAGTCCTATACTAGAATGAAACGGCCATTCAATGCTTTCAGGTTTTCAATGATGATCTAGCTTAGATCGACTCATGAATTCAACTACATATATATGTTATGCATATCCTACGGTCGATTTGTTTAGATTTCATAAATTAATCTGTATTTAAAACAAGAAGTTGGTTATGTGGATTTTGGAAACAATGTTTAATTTGAAATGGGAGAAATGATGCATCATGACAGATTACTTGGTAGCTCTTGAATATTTATTTATTGTTTTTACAATGAAACGAAAGAGAGTAAACAGACCAAAGATTATCAATAACTGAAGTTAGTTTATACAAGGCTAAATATCATGGAATAATTAGCTGGTTAACTAGATATTCTAAAAATGTTTTACCACGTAGGTGATTAATGTGAATGAAATCAAAAAGTGATTTAGTTGTAAACAACATAGAACCTGGGACACATATGTGCACAGGTTCAAGTTACCACAACATATCACCACAGTGAAATTAAATTATGAAGACAGAACTCAGAGGGAGATTCATATATATATTTGCTATTTTGGATAGTCAAATCATTACCAATTTCTCAAAGCATATTGGAAATTTTGGTAAAGTTAAAGTGTACTGCTGAACTAATAAGGATAGAGAAAAGGACTTCGAGGTCATGGAGCATATATCAGCATAGAATTAAGTTTATCGAGCTACATAAAATCAGGTTGTTAACAGTGGACAGTATAGTGATCAATATTTGTAAAGAAAACATCATTAGACATTTACAAGATGTTGGATTGTTGAAGAAGATACTTATATGTGAATGCGGAAATAAAATGACGGTGCATGGGTGCACAAAAAGACGAAATAGAGTAATTTTTTACTGCAATATTTTCTAGGGTCAAGATTAGAGTAAAGATTTGTGTTAGAGGTTAGGACTCGAGTAAGATAGGTTCAGGAGTAGGGTTTATGGCTAAGATTAGAAGTTATGGCATAAACTAACCTCTATTTTTAATACTGAACCACAATCCAATTCTTAAACTTCAATATTTAGGGACCTATAGTCGAATTGTAAAGATTTATTCATCGCTCATAAACAATATATTCTCCTTAATTTTTTTATTTTGGAGTATAATCCATTTACATGCTGCTTTCCGATTGGCTAAAATGCGTCAAAATATCAAAGTCCTTCGGTAGTATCCTTTCCACTTACTAACACTTTTTTACTGAATGAATTTTGGAACTGAAGTTGAGTTGTTGAATCAATGCATCCCTTTTGTATACCAAATCACGAAATTGAACGATTAACAGCTTGATTTTTCTGAGGATTTTACACTTAACATAAACAAAGTTATTAATTGCTATTTAGTCTATTGATGATTAATACTGGAAAATATCATCTTCAAAACGACAAAATTGCTTTTTAATACACCAAATTACGTGTATAATTAGTGGGTCTGATACATAGTCCAGTTAGTTTCGGGAATGGTTTATATCTAAGGGACTGGATTAGGCAAGAAGTTACTATACAGAGGACGAAGCAGGACTCAGAGTTGAATCGAGGTTGCTGCTGATGGTCAACGCACCATTGGTTTAGCACAGAGACAAGGTTATATAGGTCGGCGATCTGGTTGGCGACTTCGTCACATGATAATTGAGAGGGTTCTAAGTCATAACAGTCAAATATATTTACATATGAACTGGAGATAACCAAATGAGCAAAACCCAACAAACTTCACTTGATTAGTATGCATTGCATCTAATTTAAAAACCAGTTAATGAAGTGTCTACGAGAATGTTTTCGTATGTCAAACAGTAGAAAATTTAAAATACCCATTAAATACAATAACGTACTGAAGAGTAATTACTTTCTTCATATTAAGCAACAACTATAAGTAATATGATAATAAAAATTTAAGAAAATTATACGATTTCTTCTCATGATTGACTAGTTGGAAAGTAAAATTACTCCTACATATTCTGCCAAAATTTAATGATTTTTGATTTTGTAATCAACATGATAGATCCTGGGTTCGAATCTCGCGAGGTGGGATCGTGGATGAGCACTGACGAGGGGTCCCACAATAGGACGAAACGGCTGTCCAGTGCTTCTAGGATTTCAATGGTGGTCTAACATCAATCGGTTCATGATCTCAATCAAATTCTGGTATTGTATGATCATATTCATTGAAATTATGAACCAATCGGTGGTAGGCCACCATTGAAAACCTGGAAGCATTGAATAGCCCTCCCGTCCTAGTATTGGACCCCTCAGTAGTGCGCACCTGAGACCTCACACACTTAGCTTCTAGACCAATGAACCAGAAGCTAGATGTTTTAATGTTTAACCCATGACCTTGGGTTCGGTTAACGTGCGCGGGTTCGCACAGTCAAGTAGTACCATGTTAAGAAGAAACGACCATTCAGAGCTTGCAGGTTTTCATTGGCGGTCTAATATTGATCGGTCCATGATTTCAGTGGAACTCAACAATCTTCACAATCCTATAATCACAATTGCTAGTTTCTTCAAAACCATATAATAAGGACAATTAAATTTGCTATAGATAATTAATCATACGACAATAGTTAATAACTTCATTGTATGATAGCAGATCTCCGTGTAAACAAGATCGTGCTTCTTTCTGAATACTTTTATTTATAATAAACGTTTATAAAACTAATTTAATTAGCAAAATGACAAGTCAACAAAAACTCAATCATCTTAATTAATGTAGCATGATATAATACACTGATCAATTGTAGCGTTATTTATGCAACATGCGCACAATGTTCACAGCAATTTTTTTAAAGAAACGACGCATTACAGTCAATTCATAAAATAGTGTTTCTTTTGTATAGTCAAAATTTTGATTAGAATAAATAGACGGTTATTTTTTGTAGTGTAACTAATGTAATAAGTTGATAAATGCTAGAACTAACATTGAATATAGATTATTCATCTGTTCATCCATATCAACTTGTTTAATTGGTTAACATTCTATTAAATAAAGCAACAATTTAATTAATCTCAATGTGAATCATATATCAAGTGCAACTTTTCGTCATCTAACCTTGAGTTACACGGTAATAACAGAGCTAGGTGATAATACCTTGGCTGTTTGAACCGAAGTAGAAAGACTGAGATTTAAACTGATGACCTATAACTGCTAGTTGGAAAATGAGGGATTTAATTATTAGGACACTGTTGTCAGTAACACGAACAATATGATGGGGCTTAGAGTTTAGATTGATTTTTAAACCAATAACCTACATGTTCCAATCCTGCCCCACCTAATACAATTTGAAAAGTTAGGTAGTTTTGATACAGTGAGGTTTAAAGCCACATATATATACTCCGTAAACAGGCTAGACTAATGAATGATCTCTAAATCTATTCGTATGGCAGAGAGCGGAGAGAACTCACTACCTTTTCACAAATGCTCTCCGACGCCTATGCATTTATGATTTCTGACAGGAAAGTTTTACCTATTGACTTCACGCATTCGAATGTTCTTTAATGAAGTAAGAGTTAGCAAACAAACAAGGTTGATAGATACGAAGGGTCGATATGGAGGGTGAGGTAGAAAACCCTAGCTTCAAACGAATGGTGCACATGGGCTCTGTGATCCTCAAAGAACCAATGGGGTACGAACTTATTTCCGTTATCCGCTACCACAGGGCGGCATCCTCTGTCTTTGATGCTCTGACTTGTGGACTAGATCTCTAGATTGAACGTTCGGTGGGTAGCCTCCCAAAAAACCACTGGTTTCGGTTTAGGCGTCCGAGGAATATCCAACTCCACACATACAGCTCTAATAATGGTTACTATAGAAAAAACCTTCCTCATTCTGTTTCATAATTGACTTAATCATTCATCGGTCATAAATACAAATCGAACAATACCAATTCTGAAAAGACGTGTACAAATGATAGGTATTTATTTTGATTAGATAAATATATACAACATAATATACATCGTCATCATCATTGATAAAATAAACATGATGACATTGCTGTTTTTCGAATGACACAATAAGAGTCTAAAAGAAAATTCAGCATACACTTTGGTTCCGATAATAAATTCTCTGTTAAGTAGTTATCATTGATGTTATTATTATCCTTATTACCAATTCTTTCTCGAATATCGTGTAGGGAAGTTAGTAATTTCTGAATAAAGAGAAAAAGGTAGTGGGGTGCACTGATGTGTACTACTTTCATGAACAAAAATGATTTAAAAGTTTGTTGGCATTTTCTATCCCTAACTTTTCAACTTTTTAGCATGTCAATCATACTACTTAATAATATTAAGTAACCACTTCGAATCTAATAAATTTCGACAGAATATCGATTTGTGTTTTTCATTTATTGTACATTTTCAAGTATTTATATCAACTAATTCCATTCTAACTATTTATAATTGTACTTGCAACTTTTTAATACTTATAACAGTTATTTCTAATTCTATTGTATTCGTTGGACGTTTTATTTCACCAATTTACACTTTTGACGTTTTTCATACTCGTCTTGATATCAGGTAGTCAAACGCAACGTAGAACCTGGCACGTGTGTATACACATCAGTTCAAGTTGGTATACCCCAATAGCGCAGTGAGGTGAAATTGTCAGGACAAATACTGGAGTAGCACAGGTATTGACAGTATTATTGGTAATAGGAAGGATTAGGTATCGAAGATATGATTCAAGAAAGTATAAATCAGTGAAATAAAAAAATTTATGAGGAATTCAGAAACTCAAGATCAAAGGGAGGACAAGGAGTGGGTGTGACTACGTCAATGCAAACGAAGCCATGTTAATCAGTCTCTAACTATTGTTTATGGAAAAGTAGTTTTCACTTACCTACATGGCTTAGTACAATAGTCATTAACTTCATAGACTGGTTACTCGTCTTAGTTTGGCCAACCTTAACTTTCTTCTAACCTTTTCCTACACCAAGCAAAGTACTTATTTAAGGTAGCTGATGACTCAGAAGAAGTAACACATATCCCAACCACATTGGTTGATGAAGATTTACTACCTCATTAATCCATTGGACATATTTACCTAGTACCTTAATATTCTTAACCCTAGCATTGGTTACTCGGTAGTCCAAAGTTTCACTGGCGATGCTTCGAAGATACCTATGATCAAATACTCAAATCGACTTACTGAATTATTGTATCGAATTAGTACAATAATTTGGGCAGAAGTATAATTATCCTAAGCCGTAAGTTCTTTTCATTGTGTTTCAGGTTTGAAAAACCGATTTATCTATTTCTGTTAAGTAGCATCAATAGCCTTTATAGACACGAATAAGCGTGACTTACCAGTAGTACTTCGTAAATGAATTACTCATATCTAAAACTAACCATAGAATCAGGTCGTTTCTGTGCATTTTAGGCAGACCATATAGTCTTGGAGTAACAATTACTTAGACCTAAAGGAACTTAGTAAATAAGTTGTATTTAGATAATTAAATATTATATCAGATACGAATGACCTGCTCGAACATCTGGGTCTTCAGTTTTCAAAATATGTATTTACAACAAAGACATTCCTATTTCAGGTTTATGTTCATTAACTGCGTATAATTACATACTTTCACGAAATGTTAACAACCCCTTCAGAAATCTGATTACTGAGAAAATTAAGAAGTATCATCACGGTGATTCCGCATATTCAACGATAGAAAGAATTATCATTGGATCAAGACTAACTGTAAATATTCACAGATGAATATGAATCGCAACTGGTAATCATTTTTTGATATCTTTTTTTAACCTTCACAAATTCAGTGCTTCGAAAATTGGGATTTTGTTGCAATTCCGCATATTTGATGCTGTTTTGATTTTTTTACTGTAATCAAACATGTGGAATTGAATAAAGCAAGTATTATTGTTATTATAGACTACTCATTCAAAATAATAAGTAGTATCTAGTGGAATAAATGATGTCTAAACGACAAAAAAGATAAATATCATCATCGATAAGCAACAGTTACCTTTAAGATAGAACATTCTAGTCTAAGTTGTTCAACAGTAGGACGTTTGAAAGTTTCTATCGAATTATTCTAAGCGAAGAAAAATAAAACCAAGGCACAGGAAAACAGAGATAATTTAAAAGTTTCTTAAATAATCGATCAATAGTCATAAGGTTTTAGAAAAAGACAGTCAAACTACATCATAGTTAAAAGTAGCGAGTAGCGAGCCATATACTATGATTTTTTACTCCTTAATGGTGTTCGAAATCTATCAATCAAAATGAAACCATTCAATTTGTGTGAGGGCTGGAATACTGTCCAGGAGCCCATACCAAAACAGGTGGTTTTCTCAGAGAGCCACTCCTCGAACCTTTGACCTACATGCCTAATCCACAAGGCGATGGAGCAACGTTAGGAGATGCGATCTCATGGTAGCCGGTGACAAACAAAAGGTTCATATGCCATTTGTTCCTTCAGGATTATGGAGCCCATATGCACCATTGATTTGGAGTCAGGGTTTTCCAACTCCCCTAGGTGGATCCTCCGTATACACTAACCCGGTTAAAGAGTGGGACATTCGCTTTTCGTCTTCTCAATTTCATAAACAATACCCGCGTTGCGTTAAGGAATGAGTAGAACTTCCCTGGCAGTGGCTGTATACGCGAGGCCATGTGAGAGCATTTCTACAGGGAGAGCGAACTCTCCCCGTTCTCGACCGTACCATGGCAATTGGGGAAGTAGATTTATTGATAATATCTCAAACTGTGAAGCTTGGTGATCCTGCTTTAAATCCCACAGAAAATACCAGTGTTTTACAAGAATGTAGGTTTGCTTTACCAACAGTGGCAATTATCAAGAAACGTAGTTCAAGCAGAGTATCCTGTCGACCATCTTATAAAATATCAGTGTGGAATTAAATCAAACAATAAAATCTGCAAGTAAAAACAACAATAGGTCAATACTAGTTGTTATAAGATAACAATATCTACCTTCTGTAGTGATATTTTCTGACGCAACTCAATAGCTCTATACATAAACCATAATGTTTGTAAACAAACAGATGATATTGTAAAACACCAGGTATTGGAACTGTAATTGTTGTTGTCTATATTATTTATCTCCACTTCTTTCTTGTTCTCTTGTTTAAAATTAAATGGATCTAAATTTAAAGACCATTCACATTTGACAGATTGATTTGTTAAACAACAATAAAATAATTGACCATTATTGCTATTATTATTATTTTTTACCATTAATTTAAGGAAATTCTCATGATGATTACTTGAACATGATATGGAATTTTTGAAAATATCTACAGAAAGAAGGAAATAGGCGGAAAAAAGTGCAGATAAGTATCAACAAATAGTTGGCTACTTTTTTATTGCATTGAATAAGAGAAAATTTATCAGAATGCAGGTTACTACTACTGGTTGATTTTTTTGAAGGCAGAAAAATGATAAAAGCCTATAAGTGTGTTAGATAATTTGCAAGGTAGTTGGCAAGAAATCTTCAGTTTTATGCTGGTTGGTATTTGTCAACAAGGGGTAATCTGTAATTTTAAGGGAACTGACAATTCCTATGGGATCAAAACCCACATTATCTAATTTCATAGTTTGGTCATATCGCAACTTCATCAATCTAATTCGTTTAAAACTTACAGGATTAAAAAAACATAACTTTATTCACGCACTAACCTGTGATCAAACAATTGTAGCTGATAAGTGTCTTAGGTAAATGTCATTACTAAACAGTTGAAAAACAAAATGATAAACAATTGAATATCAAGTGAGTGATGCAGATCAAAAATATTGAGAAATTAGAGTAGTGTATGCCAGATTTTGCAAGAAATGTGTAAACTATGTAAAAAAAATAAGATTCAGAAGTTCAACAATGGTTTTCTTATTATCGGATTCAACAGTTTACCTCAGGGAATGACTATAGCTAGATAACCTTTGAACGGATGAAGAAGTGGACAGTTGATTTGTTCTGGTATGAAATAGTTCAGCAGTGAGTATTTATGACTTACGCCAAGGATGAGCTCAGAACCTTCAGACTTCGTGGAAAGCGCCTGACCTTCGAATTAACAGGCTGGAGTAATTCTGAAATCTCACATCACGGAAAAACAGCCTTTCAGTGCTTCTTGACTATTTTAGAGTCAGAGTTAGTTCGTGATGTAAACTACAAAATAGTTTTCTATTTAGTCCTATTTTCTGCCTTCAAATTATGTCAGTTTTTTATGAAAACATTAAATTTTTGGTGATGCATTCCAGTAGCAAATATGGATTCATATACTCAACTTACAAGTTACAAGTATTATATCTAAGCAGATTAAAAAAGAGCTGACTAATTGAACTGAAAAAGAAAGAACAGAGTTTAGACATCTGATATGTTAATGAGAAAGAGCAAGTAGATTAGAATCTAACCATGTCAGAAGTGATACGGATACATTATCATGACAAAAAAGCCGGTGACCGCGTTATACCACAAATTATATAAAACTGGAAACGTTAACAGTTTAACCGCAACTCATTGAGGCCTAAAGTTATCGTGGTCGCCATAAGGTCCACGATTCGAACCTATGGGAATGTGGGCCATTGAAGAAATCCAAACTACATGAAAAAACAAGTTATCCAGTGGTACATTTTGATTCTTAGTAACATCCATGATGGTCTAGCTTTAATTGACACATGAACTCAACTATTAAATTACTACAATCTCCGCAAAACCCCTTTCTGACATTCTTATTTATTTACTTATTATTGGTTTAACACACAAAGTCTGATATAACTGAGCATCAAAATAAGTATGACCGATACAAAAATAAAGAGATGAAATTGTGATGACAGAGCGGAAAGAGGGGAGTGTACAATCAAAAAATTAGTGGACAAAATTATTATGTAATAATGGATACGACTCAGTTAAATTACAACCAAGAAAGGAAGTTCGTCTTACTTTTATAAAGTGTAAAAGAAACCTATAGCTAGTGTACCACTGATTTCTATTCTGACTTATGCCCAATGATATCTTAAGCCACTGAATTATGCCATCTTCCGAATTCGAACTAGGGGCAAATAGATACCAGACCTATACAGCGTTCTTTTATACCTCACCAATGTCATAAACTGACCAACTCTCAAACTTTCTCCAACTAATTTCAGAATCGGGCAAATAATGCACAAATTGAAATCTACTAGCATAACATTATGCTAAGTTTGAAGCTATCACGAGTCCACTTAATCGGCGAACGAGAACAAGACTCGGTGACCAAAGACCAGTAAGCTAGCTATTGATGCGTCCCAGCCCCGCTAACTAGAGGGAGAAGTCCAAGCTTGGAATGGGAAGTATATTCTGCAAAACAGCCAGAAACGAGCGATAACAACCCAATTCAAAACGTATATATACAGTGCAAAACCGTCCTTGAGGAGAGTTACCAAATAGCATACTAAAAAAGACGCAACGGACCAATAGCACTTAAGATATTTCCAAGTGGGAAATATGACATGTAGGTGACAAGAGCGCCTTTGGCGCGAAAACTTCAAATTTTATAAATAAAATTACAAAATTAGGTCCTTTCCCAAGTGAGTTCTGGAGATCTAACGTCCCCAACACATTCGTAGCACATATTCAGGCAATGAAAACAATCACTTGTTGAATTTTTGTCACCGTGCTTAAACTATACACTATCAAACCTTAACTATGATTAATATGATCCAGTTACTGGATGTTAGTAATCTCCTTTAGAGATAGTCTAGCTTAGATTAATTCATCATTTAAAGAGAGAGAAAATAAAAACAACTATCAAATTAACCAATGTTTTTTACAAAAGAAAACTACAATAATCTACCTGATATGATGGATTGAAATACTGAATCATTAATATTAATATGCATTGTATGAATCAACTTCATTGGTTTATCATTTACAACATTATTCAATAATGAATTCGTTTTTATTTGATATAGAAAATGTATACAATCAAGGTGACTATGACCAATGTTTACAAAAATTGGTGAATGATTACATATTTTTATAGTTTCAAATGATTTTTCATTGAAACAATCTAAATATTGTGGTATTATTGGTGGTTGAAATTCTAATTGAATATTCACTTGAAGTGTACTACCGTCAACTGAGAATATTCTATTAGTATTAGTAGTAGTAGGCAATAGATTTTGTTGAAAAAGTGAAGAATTATTCAATTCAGTTATATGAAATATTTGTAACCAATTTGTTGATGGAATGATACAACGTCGTAATCTGCACAGTTTTTGAGAAAAGTATTAATTATTTTATTACAGTGATATTTTAATGGATATATATATATTAAGTGATCATTGAGCAGTTACCCATGTCATGTATGTCTATGTCTTATTGATCAATAGAATTCAATCAGAGTTAAGGATTAAGCAAAGATGACATTGGTCATTGATCAATCAATTGTAAATACATCTAAGTCCTATAGGAGATCAAACGTGGTAACGTAGATTGAGAAGATAGGTGACGAGAATTTGAATAGCACAAGCAGCATTAGTTCTCTCAAAATTTAAAATACTGTTTGGTGATAAGTGCTAATTAGCATTACCAGTGGTTCAGTGGTTTTAAGGCGTTCAACTTTTAGGCACTAAGTAGTACGTCCGAGTACCGCTGTACCTATTTCTGTCAGAACAAATAGGTAGTACTACAAACCCTTACACTCAATGTTGTTCGAATTCAAGTAAACGAATCTGTACTTTGTTTCTGAGTAAAAAACTAATATTTGTTAACGTTAGGTTGAATATGAAAGCATATCATTAAGCATCATAGACCAAAAACACCTGAGGCGATAACTATTACTTTAATTAATGGACTACTGTGTAACGTGATTTATGTGGCTAAATCCTTGAATGAGCTATGTTGAAATACCGCAGAAATCATAAAATGAGTTAGTGAAGTTGTATCAATTGGGAATGTTGGGAAGTGTGGAACATACTTTGAATAACTATCCATCTGTAGATATTAGATGGGGGCTTATCGACATAAGTGCTTGACTTTCAACTAACAGGTCACAGAGTCGAATCCCATTCCAACTACTTTATTATTCCGGCATTGTCTGTACTAGCGCTCGACACTGTGTGAATCAAAGCCCAGTACAAAATGGTGTATTTGGTAAATGAATATGTATACTACTCTTAATTATGATATTGTTTAAAGCCAGAACAAAGTAAAAATATACGTAGGAAGGTTACAACAAAACAACTACAATATACTCACAAACGTTGTACATATGTATATTTAACGGAAGACTATTCGACTAAGGGGTTAGAGAGATAAAGAAAAGTAGTCACTTAATTTATTTAGATCTATATATTAGTCTTTGACTCCTTAGTTCCAATTCTTTACAAATATACCTCTATACATTTTAGGGAAGCATTGTGAGAGGTAGTGAGCACCGAAAGTATGAGGACTTTCTTTAAACTCATTTACCAGGTACAGATTCAAGATTGCCCAAAATGAAGTGGAGAAGGGTTGAAGCCTGGAAATTAGTAACTGAAAATCGAACGACTTAACAACTGAACCACAGACACATCGTAAAAATTAGACGGATTTTAAGGTCGAAGATTTAATTTGATGAAAGTTTTCTCCTTGCTCTACAACTACGGAAATATTAATCACCAACACATAATACTACTGAATTGTCATACATAATAGCCATACTAAACAGTACAAACAAGAAAGCCACCGAAACTTCAATAAACTACAATCGATTTTGAACATCATCTGATTTCCCAAAACTACTTGCAGTATATCTTCCTCAAGTGTTGATATTACCTTCTTTTCATTGAAATTCTTCCAAACTGTGTTATTCATTTCTATCAACCACGGTTAAGAAGGTTTTTATTTATTGGTTTTAATATGCTTTCTGGAAAAATTTATCGAAATTAAGAAATAACTTATTAGTAAAAATTTTTCTCTATTATAGGTTGATAAACAGATAGCGTGGGATTTTAAATATTACGAATAGTCAGTCAATCAATCAATCAACATCTGTCTATGAACGATGTAGAACTTGGCACAGTGATGTGTGGGAGAGGATGATAGTGATTGTTTGACAGGTATGAGTTACATATGCTCCTACCCCTATTATTATTGTGATTGTTGTCGGTTTTCGTGTGGAAATATATTTACGTTCTAGTCCGGCTAGTCACATGTTCTCGATATGAGTTGTGTTGAGGTCTTGTAGAATAGATACTGGAAGGGTGTCTAATGTAGATGCTCGTCCAAGGCAAATTAGCATTCCATTTGTGTAGGCGGAAAAATCAAGCATTATAACACAGAAAAGTAATACTGGGGGAAGAGCTGTCACACTTTACACTAGTGAAATATAAGAAGCTAACAAAATGAGATAGTTATGATACTTCATACATATTTCTAGCATGTGGTTTACACTACAGATTGAATTTTAGCTACATAAACATGGAAGGTAACACCGTAATTTATGAACGAACCAATCAGATTTAAGATAACAATTCTTGTATTTTGGCGTAAAATTTATTTCTCTATACAGCTTAATAGTATTTTGGCATTATAGTCAATGACAGTTCGTGATGAAAACCTTAATTATAATTCCTAACCCTGACTTTCAACTGTAAATTTCGATTCTAGTTTTTCAGACCTTCTTTAGACCCTAGTAGATAGGTAAATTTTCTCAAGGTCAATTTGGCATTGCTCAAAGGTCGTTCACGAACAAAAGCCTCACCAAATGAAAAACCACAAAGAACTGGATAGTATTTCTTCCTACCACAGAACTCCCTAGAAGTGTTCCAACTGAATGGTCAAGTTAGACGTTCGCAACGAGATCTGAAGGTCTTGATCTTTAAGGAGGTCATTGATATGCACTGTTTTCAAATGTTTTTTCTGAGTTATAGTATAATTACTTAAAGATGTAAATAATATATGGATTTGACGTTCTTCACAAACCTTCGCTATGCTAACATTGACAATACATTTTATAACACAATTCACTCACTTGGAATTATCACTATTGATACTTATCGGTGATGAAAACCACAATTCTCTATACGTGTAAACGAGTGAATGATGATTGTTGACCACGTTCTTATCGGCATCTGTGATTAAATCCTTCATATTCGATGATGATGATGATGATAACGATGACGATTCACAGTCTGTTCTAACAGCTTCCATTTTGATAACAATGTATAAATATTTCTCAAGATAATCAGATATGATATAATTCTTTGTATTATTCATGTACGATTTGAATAAAATAATTTGTGCCAGATTATTTAGACTAATTTTGTTTAAATCGGAATGAAATAATAATTCATTAATATTCTCTCCTAGATTGTCATCAGTTGTTGTATTCTTTGAATAAGAATTAATAAGAAGGAAGAGTATTCATACAAAGAAGGTAAATAATAGTAATGGTAATATTAATAATAATAATTCCATGCAATCACTTCTTTTCATAAATCTGAAAAGGTGAGAATGACAGGGTATATGCAGAATATAATGAATCCCTACATTATATTTCGTTGCTTTTTTAACTATACTACACAATTCAAAATGTACAATGTGACTTAAATGATTTCTTTCAAGGTGTCATAATTCTGCTCTCCTAATAAGTGTTATTTTATTTTTATAACAATAAGGTAAATAGTTTATTTGTCAGTGATTATTCCATACTCTGAGAGGAACACGATGACTGACTCATATTCAACTAGTCATGGTTGATTTGTAAATCAATAAGATGCTAGAAGACTGATAAGTAAAATCGACATATACACTCGGAGGTTTTTAATACAGATAAGTCTGCTACTGAAAAGCCTAGTACTACCTACTTAACTGCTTCTTATAACCCTCAACTACATCCACACGTCAACCCGAACAACAAAGAAAAGGGGGGAAATGTAAGAGCATGACTTCAAAGCTAGTTCATGTACAGAAAATCGAGTGTAATTATAGTTGTGTGAGTCTAGATTTTTATAATATACTAAATATAGTAGTGGTATAAGTAATTATCTAATCAAAAACGTGACAAGTGATCCTTCATTTTTTGGATGTTTTTGATGTGTTTCTATCTAATGTTGGATGGATAAAACATTTCTTGGCGTTTCCTAAGCTACTGGAAACTTTGAAAAAGGATGTTATGGACACTCCAACAACTATGGTATATCTTGTTGTTTCAGCTTATTGGAATATATTAGGTCGCTCCCCCTAAATACGTGTATTCATTCGGGAAGAGTTGAATTAAATATAACTGACCAAGGGATAACTAGATATTTTGATTGAGATCATGAATCGATCAAAATTAGACCACCTGGAAGCACAGGATGGCCATTTCATCCTAGTGTGAGACTCCTCGGGGGTGCACATCCACGATCCCGCTCGCGTGACCCGAGGCCAGGACATTCGACATCATGCACAGACGCCTAACCTCTAGACCACTGAGCCGGCATCCAACGGTGTTATTGTTTAACTCCAAATAATTCACGAAATTGCGCAACCAACTTCCATTGTTCGAGATAGATACCTGTCCCTACCTGACACAAATTCGCTCCACTGGTCACGGCTTCTCACTAGAACTCCGAGAATTACCTCTCCAAGCTAGTCACTAGTGAACACATGGTAATTATCAGCATGAGGGGTCGTGGATGCACTGTCGAGGAGTCCCATACTAGGACGAAACGGTCGTCCAGTGCTTCCAGGTTTTCAATGGTGGTCTAATCTTGGTCGATTCATGATCGCAATCAATAACTCAATAATCTCCACAACTCCCTACTGAAGATAAATAGATAGTCAAAAAACACAATGCAGGTGTACAGCCTCATTTCCACAGAAAAGTTGAGTTCAGTAACAAGATGAATTAAATACATCATAGTTATATTAAGTAACAGCTATACAACTAACACTGACTTTTAATTCAATCTGATAGAATAAAGACAATTATATTATGGTAGGCTAAAAGGTATGAAATATCTCCTTTCAATACATAAATACCTATTTCAAATTTATATTTGACAAAGGTCAATTTACCTGGACTGTGATATCAACAATCAATTCCAAAGGTGATTGGTTTCCTGACTCATGATCTGCACGACATGATGTCAAATAGACTTTACAATCTAAAGGGAACTGAGACCAATCATTTTTGTCTGTATTCACTTTAAAATTACTCAAACGGTTTAGTAAAAGTAAACATGCTAAATAACTTTTCATTTGATATTTTGTTTTGATTAATTTCATGAATGTTTGATTCAATTGTTGTTCTGTATAATTAACAGGAGCATCAATTTCAGATTTAGATGATAATAGATCAACTAGACGTGTCTTGCAACCTTGTGAATCAACACTACCCAAATGACCATCTAGTTTAGAGAAAGACAAAAACGGATAGAGAAAACTGAGAATTAAAACAGTGAGGGCACAATAATAACAACATTAATACAAATACGACATACCGATGAAAAAAGTTTAATGCGATTTGGCAATTAAGTTCAATGTTCTATAAAAGTAGACTTTGAGAGTGATTGTTTTGTTATTTGGTTGAAGGTAGTAAGTGGGAAACCCTTAGATATAGGCTTCAAACTAGTTAGCATTCTTCAGCAAAGTGTGCATGCAATCACAAGGGAACCGATACACCCTGTGGAGTTGGATCCGCACTACCCAGCTTCATGATCTGAAGGAATATAATTGATCTATTCGAGCTCAAAACTCTATCCATCAAGCTGTATTATGTTCACTAGTCTAATTGATTTAACATCGTGTGGACTGTGTTTGACTGACTGTTTTACGTGAGGGTTAGGTGTTACTACCCGGATCTCTAGAATAGAGTACGTAGAGTGGAGTTTGAAACTAGGATTAAGGACTTTAACCATTTGGTCCCTGGAAAAATATGAAATCTCGAACAATTTGACAAAGGATATTTGTTATATTTTTCTAATCTACTCACTTGCCATCGTAGATGGTTTCATGAAGGACTGATCTGGAGCGGAACAGTCGTTGCCAAAGACTATGAATAGATATTAATCGCTTTATATAGTGAATTGATTGGAGCTGGAAATTTGCGTCGTTGGGTCCCTCAACCCAGTGGTCTGATGGTTAAGGGCTGGGCATGAGACTTGAAGGTTGTGGATCCAATCCTCGGGTGCGTCGCAGTATGCACTGCTGAAAAGTTTCGTTCTAGGGTGAAACGGTCGTTTAGTGCTCCTTGATTCTTAGTGGTACTCCAAATGACATCACCCGTGACGAATGCCACCTACAATACAAACTGGTTTGATTGTCACGACAGGCAGACTGGACGAAAATATTCATATAGCAACTACGACCAGTAGCAATTTGAAGTTATGCAATACGACGTTGATCTCCATATTTAACCTATTACAGTCCAGGTTTTCTAGACCTTCAGTCACTGAATGTATGGAGTGAGATGATATCTTGGTTGCTCATAGTTTTGTTCCAATCTACTACAAATTCAGTTAGCATCCCGTAATGGTGTAGATGATGGTTAGTGAATATACTGGACATGCCTAAATACCGCCTTTGTGAAGATTATACAGATTCATTGTCTTTACCTAGTACCCTACACCTGTCCTCAGTACCACTCACTTCATAGTTCAATCACATGTGGGCGATGCTTTGAATCAATTTACGATCAAAAACGAATAATCTGAGCATATATAACAAAAAGTATAAAGTTTGAACATCTTGGAGCTATAGAGAAACGATGAAAAAGAGCCTACACTAAAAAATATTACCTTGTGAAATGTATTGGCTCTTACCAACTTACGTTACTTGTAGTATGGGAGAGACGTTCATCTGCCAACGAAAAACGAGTACAGTGTAAGGGAGTTTGCTCTCTTCTGTTTTGTGAGTGTAAAGCATTGCCCATTAGAACAGAGGATATACGTAGGTTGTTAGCATTTAATCATAGATGTCTTCGAAGCATTGCACACGTATGTTGAGACCACCGAGTGAGCAAGGCTGACGTTAGGACGTAAAGATGGCAAACCGATTCATAAGGCAGTGAATATTCATTCACCGAGGTGGTTAGAACATGTATAACGTATGGCCAAACACCACCTCTTTCGATGAGCGATGTAATCTGGTGTAGGAATAGGTTGAGATAAAGCTAGGGGCGATCAAAAGAAAATGTAGCATCGGTCCATGAAGTCATTGAAAACTGAGCTGGACTATGATGAGGACTACCTGGATGTGATCCTAACGATAATTACAACCAGTGACTGGGAGAATTGAGTGACATCGATTAGAATTATTTGAAATGGTGTGGATAAATTCACTTTGTACTACGTCAGATCCTAAGTCTCAACACGTTCCTGTACTTTTTCCCTCTTTTATAACTAATCGTTTTACTACTACTGATACTGTTACTACTTCTACCACTATGCGATTTTGCTTGATTAATTCATCATACTGAGATAATGTTGTGTGGCAACGTGAACTGATGCACATATGTGAAAGGTTGTACATTGCATATGATTGACTGAATTATGAACAAAATAAGTTGTTTTTTTTAATTTGGACGACCTATATGTGTTTACAAACACAAACACACACAGAAAACAAAGAACACTGAAGAAATCTAGAAAGTACATATTAAACAACTTGAAACAAAAAATCAGAAACCAAATAAAAGTTTATCGACCAACCAGCCAAACGAGTAAAGTCGCAAACATTAAGATTACGCCATCTTGGGCACGATTTTATCCATTGCTCAATATTATTCACAGGTGATAAATGAATAGGTAATCGAGGAAAATTAGTTGGTTGACATAACAAATTCCATTTCGTTGATTCACTATTATTATTGTCATTACATTGTCTTAATTGTAAACTGAAATGTACTGACGTTAAATGTCCACTTTGAGTGATCACATGGAGCCATGAACCTTGTGCACGACATTTTGTAATTGGATCAGGTGATTGGGGTAAATTGAATTCAGTGATGTTTAAAACTCTGTATTGCAAGCAAATTAAATTTATCAAAATAAATAAATAAACATTTGAGGAAATATGAACGATGGTAAAGTGTAGAAAACTAAGTTCATGGGATACGAATACCAATAACAATCATACTCTAACCAGTGGCTAATTTCTAGGGTTAATTGCCGGAGCTTTAGTGAAGAGCTGTCATTAGTGGAGGGAAGATATTTCGCGTGTGACAGTCGCTCATAAGTGGTAGTGGGTGATATATGCACAATATCGCAAACTGATTCAAGTCAGAGATGTAAGCTACTCGAGACCAACTCCGTGGTCTAACCTTACCCAGTGAGATTATGAATTTACACTACGAGGATGAAACTGACATTTAGTGGTCGTTTGACGAAGATAATCAGTCCGTGTTTTGAAATATAAAAAAAGAATATGAAGAAAATTGATTGGAGGAATTTTAGGGATCACGTGAAGCCTAGCAACATTGTAATAGATGATATAACAATGTTCCACAATTTACGGAGAGTAAAAGTATAAGAGGGATTGTGATCAGTTCAATTTGAAATAATCTGGCTTATTCCGTTATTAATATCTTTTGACTAAAAGTTGATCAGTTTTAGCTGGCTTATGTGCATCTTGTACGGACTTCCCCGAAATAGCCACTATATATTATTTATTTATTTTATTTTAAAACATAGATATTATTACAAGGAGGCACCAAATACATATGCGCCACACAGATCTCATTTGATATGTGTGAGGGCTGTGATACTGCCCGTGTGCCCAAACCGAAGCAGGTGGTTTTCTTAGGGGGCCACACCCGAAGCTTTCGACCTGAAAGTCTGATCAACAAGACAGTGAAGCAACGTAAGGAGACGCAGTCCCATGGTAACCGGTGACCAACGATTAGTTCATACGCCACTTCTTCCTTCAGGATTATGGAGCCCATGTGCACCATTGGTTTGGAATCAGGGTTTTCCAACTCCCCTAGGTGGACTCTCCGTGTCCACTAACCCGGTTGATGCGCCGGACGTTCGCTTTCCGTCCTCTCAATTTCGTAAACAGCACCCCCACCACGAGAAGGTAGTGAGGACTTCCCTGGCAGAGGCTATATACGCGTGGCCATGTGAGAGCATTTCGAGAGGGAGCTGACTCTCCCCACTCTCGGCCGTACCAGGGCATTTGGGGGCAATAGCCACTATGACACAGGTTGATATAGAATAGTTCATGTGTATAGCAGCGGGATCCAGGAGGCGCGTTTTGTCCTATTTAGAAATCGTCCGTTGAATGTACCCGTATCCTGTTGCACAAGTGAGTAGCTGCCTGGACCCAGAAACTAAGTGGATAACGTAATGGCGTTTGAAGAGAAAGGCATTGGGTTCGAGTCTCCGGGTGAACATCAACTCTGGGTACGGCTGGGAGTAGGGGGTCCGCACTCCCTCTAGAAATGCTCACATGGTTATACGTATATGGCCATTGCCAAGGGAGTTTTACTCACAGCCTTCGCGCGACGGGGTATTGTTTACGAAATTGAGAGGACAAAAATCGAATGTCCGGCACTGAAACCGGGTTAATGGATACGGAGGGTCCACCTAGATGAATTGAAAAACTCTGATTTCAAAACAATGTTGCACATGAGCCTCAGAATCCTGAGGGAACACATGGAATATGAATATATTATTGGTGACCGGCTAGTATTGAACTGCATCTTCCAACGTTGCCCCACTACCTTGTGGATTAGACGTGTAAGTGAAATGCTCGGAGAATGGTATCGTCAGAAAATTATCTGTGACGGTTTGGGTATCCGAACAGTAATACAGTCCACACAAAAACCGAATGATAATCGCTTTCTGTGGCACATACATCTGTTGGTCCTCGCTTGTATCAATGATTGTGCTCAAATAGACAGATAAGGTACACGCAGCTAATGAGTTCCAAATAAGACGATATGCGCTTCCTGGATTTCACTGCTAGCCAGATTCCATATATTCTATACAAATTGTGATTAGTGTTCACGCATATTTCTAAACCTGAGTTCACAGCCTTCCACGAGAAATAAGCTAGTTATAAACCCATTATGGAAAAATTAAACTTACTTTGTCTTAACAGTATTTAGATTTTTCTCTATTTACACGACTGAGTGTACCACATCGAAGCAAATGGTTACGAATCGCTACAGCTAATGGAGATCAACAACTTTACCAAATGATTGATTTTATTTATATGTTACTTAGATTTATAAGAACTTGAAGTTCATGGAATTAATCATCTATGTGTACGGCCCTGGATGTACACTGTTTAACAGTTCCAAACCATGGCGAACACAAATGTCAAGTACCGTTTGGGTATTGTGAGTGGCTTTGTGACGGTCGGTATATCCGCAAAATTTACCTTTAAAAATGATATAAATCTTTTCAGAAAAGACACTACTAAATGACAAGTTCAAACCGCCCAGTAGTACACAATAATCTAAATGAATTGTGATAATCGAATTCAGAATACTGATTATGACCACTGTTTATTTATAAGTAATATTGATGGGAAATAGAAGGATATGAAGAACAAACTTATGACGATGATAAAAATTGAAACATGACCAGTGAAAAAGTCAGTTATTCACTCATATAGGCAACGCGAAGCTTGAAAAATGTGGATCGTTTGAAGTTGCTACAACGTATCAGGACAATAAAATAAAATTAAGATAAATATCAGAGTAGTAGTATCTATTGACAGTAAAAAAAGGTCTAGGCATAATACTTATGATTTGAAAATGACTTTTCGAAACAAAAAACACAAAATCATTTTGAAAATCAGGATCTAAGGGTCAATGCAATGAGTGCTACTGTGACATCGTAGTCGATTTTGAGCCGTATCGCTCAACATGAACCACAGGTCACGATAGATACGCGAACCCCAACCAGATAGTCTGGATCTACTAACGTGGTTTAGATCGATATTTAGTGATTTCATAGATTAATGTTACGTTTAGGTTCAGCCTCTATCAGCATTTTTACAATCTACTCCTAGCACTAGCCGAAATTGCGCCTCGAATTAGGAAACAAACAAATAAGAACTAACTTTTTGTTACAAACATCTGATGAATCGAACCAAACACCTACACCTTCACCATCTTTTGTTAAACCAATAAGCAGATCATTCACAGTATTGTTTTCGATTTGAGTACAACGATTATCTGCTAATGTATTGTCAATTATACGAGACAGTGTAGAATTAGCTGCAGGATTACGAATAAAAGCCCAAGTCACGATTGGCTTACAACATGACAATGGAAATGCAACTGAACAATGAAGTTTTTTATTCATAGTTGTATACCAAATAGCATAGACTAGTCCATTTGGAAGGCTACATAATCGAACCAGATCAGGATCGCATCTAATATCTTCATTTTCAATATCACAAAGAATATTAATAAAACGTTTAGAACAGGTGAATATTGATGAGGATGATGACGATGTGAAGGATAAATCAGCAAATACTGTCGAAGTTTGATGTTGTGGATAAGTAATTATATTCATAAAGTGATTTTTATCGCAAAGAGTACAGATATGAACTGGTATATTCTTCGTCTCTGACAAATTTGTGCTCGATGAGGGATACTGGTATGGAATTTCCAAATTAATGCAACTAGACAACCTGAAATTAAATTTTACACAAAATAAAGTATTATTAACAGAGATTTTTTCATGAATAATATCAATTCTGTTCGGTAAATCAATAAAACAAAAGGATTCTAAATTATAGAAGCAAGTAATGTGTACAAGAGATGGGCTATTGAGCTTTAGTTTTAATTTCCAATCCCAACATAAATTATCAGTACAAACCAGATGAACGTATATATTCCACTGTTAGTAGGATAAAGCTCTAACGTTTGCATGCTTTGATCAAGCTAAAGTCGAAACGAGCTGATTGGCCCACTTTCAACCGATCAGAGCTAGTGGACGAATTGAGATGTTAGAAGATTCTTGTGTAAACTTCAATGTCTTTACAACTGAATATTTGTTGTTCACGTTATCGTTATATATATCGGTTGTCAGTTATTTTTCTGATCTGAGAGGAGTCTAGTGAAGTATCATGGTCAAGGAATACTAGACAGTGAATCATGACACTTACTGACGGCTGGTTGTTGTTAGATGCTACTAGACTACTATGACAAAACATTTGAAATAATTATCACATAGTACAGTCTGTGATGTAAAAAATAAAACTCAACAGTCTCCACAAACCGGTCATGATAATATTAATAATAATGTACCCATTAGTGATTACTTCCGAGGGGTGATTATTCTTGGAATTCTATTGAGAAGCCGTCACCAATGAAGTTTGATTATGTCACGTGTGAGGCAGTTATCAATTGACGATATTGGAAAATGTTTGTGCAAGATCGTTAGTTGATTAAAGTTAAAGAAGTAAAGCACTAAATGTGGACTCAGTAGTTTAAAGGTGAAACGCTCGTCACAAGTTCAGTTTGTGATGAAAGTTGAACAGTTGAATATCTCAAAAATGGTTATCATCAACAAAAATTAAAATGAAGAACTTCCGTTGGCTATTTGAAGCAATAAAACGCTCAACATTGTGGCCATTAATGTCATACTGCTTAGCTTAAAAGTTGGTGATGAAATTTAGTGAAAATGTAGAACACGAACACCATTTCGGTCACAACATACAAATTAACATAGTTTGTTTATAGGGACCTACTTAGATGGTGGTTGGAGGTAGTCAACAGGAAACCCTGGACCCGGGTCTCGTGCTATTTGGCACTCGTCAGCAAGGTGTGCCTGTAATCTTGAGGGAACTGGTTCGATCCCGTGTTACCCAACTTCACGGTCAGAGACGTTACCACTGAGCTATCCGAGCCGCGACCGACCTCCTGTAGGACTGAGATGTAATCACAATTGATTGATCACTGGGTGGTGATCAATGTCATGTGTGTCAAGTCCCGGGTCCAGGGTTTCCCGTTGACTACCTCCAACCACCATCTTATCTCAACATAGTGCACGCAGTGTCGAGTCACCTAGACTGGTGGCTACATTGCAACATGGTCGATAGCATTCGATCTGCACTAATAAAGACTTAACACACATGACACTTATAACAACCCAGTGATCAATCAATTGTGATAGGGACCTACTGCCTGGATGGAATAGAAATGAAGTCTAGCTATGTAAATTAAGACTAACTAAACTGGATTTAAGTTTGACTTTGTGGTCACATATAAATATATTAAGCTGCTGATCCCGTTTTTATCAACTAATAACTAAGCCTCTAACCCTATCTAATAATTTGATTTCATTTGGGAAGAAGACATAGTTGGTATGTTTGTTTGATGAAATAAATGTAGCTTGGTGAATATTTTAAATAATACGACAATTAGAAATATAAAATTTATCATTAAAATGAAGAGATATAAGTAGCGATTGTATTTCAATGTTCACGCGGCGGAGCGCTGAATTGTGAACTAAAAGGAAATTGATTCAAACCTAATTGTGATCAAAGTATTCGTTCAGCAGAAGTTGGTCATTTCTGTATACATAAGAAACAAGTTTGTCGACTTGAACATATATATATATAACTGAAAATACAATAAAAATAGACTTACAAAGAGTTTTCATGTAATTCAATGGTTAAGCATAGACTTTGAGTAGAAGCTTGGTGAACACCTTCAATACGTATAGTTTCGTTGCCTATTGTCTCAGTAGCAAGTACCATTAAGTCATGCTTTTCTGTATTATTTTTCTTTGCATCTGCTAAGAATTAATACTAAGAACATTATTGTATCATTCCATAAAAAACCATGAAAAACGGCAAGGTTAGGAGGATTATTCGCTTACTTGTTTACTTATTCATAACGTTAAAAGAATTCTTGATGTAGTAGCTCACTAAGAAACAAATTACCGTAAACGAATCAATAAAAAAGTAGAAAAGTGGGTTAGCGGTAAAGGGATTCGGTTCGGGAAATCGAATGGTAACAGTAGTCTCTGAACTTAAAGTGTGGTTCATACTCAACTATCTAGTGAATGATTTAACTAGTTAACAGTCAATAAATAATAAAAGATATTGTGTAACTAAAGAAATGGCTATAGGGAGTGATATGATCGAGTGGACTGTCCACATCCTGGATGTCTCATCCGCATTGGTGGTACCATGAGTTTTGTATGAAAAAATACAGTACTAACTGGGCGTCCAACAACTAACGTACATTTTGTCCCGTACAGGGATAGTTAATAAAATTAGACAGTTAGTTAGACTAAGAAATAATAATAACTGAAAAAAACGAAAATCTTGTACTACAATTTAAAAATGTTTTTCAAGAGGTGGCTGTTGTGACTGAACAATCAGGCATGTAACGATTCGTATTGATTACTGTGTACAAATTGCAAATACTATTTTTGTAGAGTTTTAAAATATATTCGCATGTTATAAAAATATTTAAAAGCTATTGACAAACAAAGCTGCATCAAGATTTCAACACTTAACCTTCATTAAGTGGGTTTACAGTTCAAGTTTGGTACTGTATGTTTATTTATATGTACATCAGATCTATGGAACGATCGTGAGTAGTGGTGGGTAACAAAAGTAGAAGAGATAGAAAGGCAGCGGCTGTAGGTAACACCAGACAGTTTTTCAGACTAATTAAAAAGACAATTGTTTTTAATATAATGGGAATTTTCCGGAGGGTAATTAAAAAGAAACTGGAATTAAGAAGTCAAGTGTAAGTGAGGCGATCTCGGGAAAAGATGACACTCTTATCTGCTCTCAGCCCGAACGTTTAGGATGATGGGTGGAAAACTTTAAGGAGCAATTAAACTGGCCTCCAGCTACTCTACGAACACCCACCATTCCCAAATAGCGTGAATGGATTATTGAAGTAGACCCCTGGACTCTAATTGAAGTTCAAAAAGCTATAACTAATCTGAAACGAGGAAGAGCAACTGGTCTAGACGGATTGGCTCCAGAGGTCATTAAATATGGCGGTCCAGTTTTAGCAACCATGTCGACTAATATTTTAGCTAAAATCTGCGAACTGGATGTAATCCCATCTGAATGGTCGCGACCACTGGTTGTCCCAATATACACGAAGGGGTATATAGCATCTAAAGAGAGATTGATTATGAAAAGTGATCTTTGGATAGTTTGATACTATATTTGATCACATAAAATATGTAATGAGTTAAAAATTCACGTCATTACTATTGACCAGAAAGCTACGCATGTATTTGGCTAGGTAAACACTTTTATGGTATGAAACGTCCTAAAACCAGTGTCCACATTTTGCTTCATCAATTGATGTTATTGAAGTGAGTAAAAAACATCTTTTAAAAACTAGAACAGTTTAAACCTAACAATGACTCGCTGGCATACTCACTGTAATCCATTTACCTGTCTCAACTACAACAGTAGATTTATCAAAATCGGAAAACAAATCTTCCATTGACGTATCCATATTTAAACAATTAGACCTAAATGGAAACAAAATTTTAGTTTAAAAAATATTTTGTTGAATAACTTAATAGGCAGCATAGCAGAGCATATGAGCTTAATTAGGTAGATGAGCAGAAATCAGTACACACATTCAGTAACTCATAAACATATGAGACTTAAGATAATCTTGATTTATAACGAACAAAACTTGTAGTTTGTAGTTGGTAGTTTTATTTTACGCTTAAGTGGGTTGTTTTATTTTCCAGATAGACCAGTTAATTTATTCTTCCTGAGTCACATCTTGAATTCGTCAACTACTTGCTCATAAACTGGACTGCTTTTAATTAGGAGTGTGTCTCTTTTACCCCCATTTATCACATGTCTTTAGCTTATTTTTGTTTGACTATAACTAGTCACGCTTTATCAGTATGAGTTAGCCCGCTTGACTTCTTCGCTTCCCTTTGATTTTTCTGCTTCCCATTATAATGTCTGAGTAAACGACTGCATGAAATAAACCAATCCAACTTAATCCATATTACCGCCGCCACACAAGCAGGGTTAGCCCAGGTATAGTATACGGAATTAAACGGGAGATTTATGTTCCCGGCACACTCATTCATACAAAACGGAGTCGGATCAACAGGTACCCTACGTTTTTAATTGAAAAAAGTGTCCAGAATATTGAGACAACTCCATTAAAAGAAACGTTTGAACAAACTCGATGCCTTTAACGAAACTTTTATTAATTTATCCACAACGTAGAACACTTATTTAAGCAGTCGATTTTCAAACATTGAGTTAGATGTCAGAATAATTCAGTTGGGGTGATAAAGTAGCCCTCCATTGAAATATTACCTAAAGTGTAGTCCACGAACAAATACCTGCGCACTGAGTAACTGGACCATACTATCCAGCTCTAAACGATCACGTCGTAAAGTGGATCTTTATGATTTAATTTTAAGTCAAAACGCCAAGTATGCTGATAATGCCTAATACAAAAATCTACACAGTATAACTACAATCTACCGGCCTCATAAAATGAATCAACAACGTGGTCGTGAGAATAATGTGTATACAAATGATCTGTAAGAAATATACTATTTTCAATCATTGAATTAAGGGAGTTCAGAGTACCTAGGACGACCAGATTAACTAAAGTCCTGAACTATATAATATCTAGTTGACTTTCAGTTTGTGAAATTAGTTTTGAAGCTGCCTTCCAAAATAATATAGTGCACCACTACTACTTAAGTAGTAGGTTTTCAAAACAAGAGTGGGGAAATCAAGGCAAACTTAAAGGACATACAACTGGATAATAAAAGCGCCAGTAACACTGGCTGCAGCCAAGTACTACAATATATACGGATGTTTGGAAAGCGTACAGACTCTTACATAGGCTTGGTTATGTGCATCGTGTCGTTATCGACAAGTAGCAGTTTGTGTACTCAACAACCGAAGTGCACATAAACAATATAGAAACTGTATGGTCGAGGCTAAAAGTTTTCGAAACTTTATCATGGCTTCGGAGTCATCAGTGAAAGGTGATAAGCGCGTTAGGAAATTCTGACTAACTTTTGAATATTACCTGAAGTTGCTGCTGCCAGTCAATGTCGTAAAAATTGAGGTTACCGATGATGAAATGACCAATTTAACAAGAAGACCAGAGGTTAGCTTCAATACTTATACGCCGCATGTAAACCAAAGAAGGCGCACTATACGAATTGAGCGCTTCTCTAAATGATATGGTAATTTCACCCAATCGAACATGATGACTTGAATTATATTCACCAACCAATAAAATTTTCAGTACTACGAGACAAAGTTCTGTTTAAAAACAACTGCCAGAAAAAGGGAGCGTCTATAAGAGCTCTATGAACGGATTTCCAGGCACTGAGATATATATTTTGTTAATGGTTATTACAGATATTCAATGCTTGAAAACGCTGTTGTCGGTGAATGCCCTAGAAACAAAGATAAGAGATGTGTAGTATGGATCATCGATCGTGATTTAGCGTTGATACGGGTCCGAGTGTCTCCAGCTAGGGTCTATCCAACAGAATGACTGTGGTCAAATTCATTGTCGAAAATTAAAGCACTGTCTATTTAAGGGATTTAAGTGCCATCACAAAGCTCTGCTTCTTAACAATCACAATAAGTTTTAGGAATGTGAGAGTGTATCCCCAATATTTTTTCCTTACGTTATTACGGATAGAAAAGTGAATTCTTTTCTGCCTTTCGTAATAACGGTTTAAAAGTAATTAAATCAACTCCCATCGTGTAGTTCTGTGTCTGGCAATGAATATAAGCGCAATTTTTGATCAGGATACTTACTAAACTAAGAGTTGACGAAGTCTTGTAACTATGTTTTTTTAGTTTGACAACACTTTAAGGGGTAACACTCTCTACCAGCCATTCACTCAGCTAAAACGTAGGACCAGGCACATATATGCATCGGTCCAAGTTGCCATACCTCATTAACACAAAAAGATGAATACCGGATTCATAGAAGTAGTAAATTCAGTGGTAGTAATATATGAAAGAAAGATTGAATATAAGGATATATTACAGGAAGAAAGAATTATTTCGTAGAAAGAAAGATATGATGCGATTTTAATCTCATAGTTTAAGGGCAGATAGAGAGTCTATACACCTACGCCACTTTGTTCGATTCTGAGCCATGTCACCAAGAGTCTCCAACCATTGGTTACGATAGTCGCGCGGACCGCGGCCAAGTAGTCTGCATCTACCAACATGGCTCAGACTAGAAGTTAGTGACTTTGTGGACTGATGCCACGTTTTGGTTTGGCCACCCCTAACTTTCTTCCAACCATCCCCAACACCAGTTAGCATTGCACGTCGTGGTAATCGGTGTTCAGGCATACGTAACACCTGGACCAACCTTTTCAGTCGCTGAAGATTCACAACATCATCAACTGGTTTCCACAATTCTTAAATACTTTGTGTAACCTCACTATTACTCACCCGGTGATCTCAGCAGATGCGAGCAATATTTCTAAAACATCTGTCGTTAAGTACTAGTAACTTACGAATATCTTCTACACTTAATGGTCACCTGACCGTTTCTGCTACGTTGACGTGGTGGCCGGCCTTGCCTATCGCAGTGAACCAATCTAACTATACTGGCAAGAACAATTGTTCCTCAAGCTCCTACCACGCCAGACAACTAGGTTGAAGAGCGGTAAGACTAAAAGCAGTAAACCCAAGGTCCGAGGGCGAAGTCGTACTTTTGACTGTACAGAGGTGTGATGGCAGTAAGGTGTTTCTTTCAGTCAACCAACATGACGGCGATCCTCCCCTCCTACAAGAAGGGGTGTGGTTAGAGAAGGTAGAACCTAAAAATGCACACCTCACCTTATCCCACGCTTTACGCTCTCCGGTGGTAAGGTCCCAACAAATATGTAGCAAGGTCGTGTGTGACCGACCTCAAGCAGTTTTTCCTTTAGCACTGCGGTAGCGTTCTTAGGTCACTAAGACCACCTTTTATCCAATTTTTATTTCAGGTACTCCTATAGGAACACCTTCGCGGTGTAGGCAGCCGGGAAATGACAACAGCCCTCACCATTTTACCAGCACTTAAGATTACTACCAATAATCAATCTCCCTTTAGATGCTATATTAGTCAAACTTATCCCTCTGTGGTTTTCATAGGATTATTTTTACCCCTTCGTGTATGTTGGGACAACCAGTGATTGCGGCCATTCACATGGGGTTAGTTCACCTGGTTGCTAAAACTGGACCGCCATATTTAATGACCTCTGGAGCCAATCCATCTGGACCAGTTGATCTTCCTCGTTTCAGATTAACTATAGCTTTTTGAATTTCAATATCCGAAAGTACGAAAAAATATCACATTATATAAAAGTTAAGGAAGTAGTATACGATGTTCCAAAAAGAAACAGACTCACAATTTGCAAGTCGGTGTACCAGATCACGTCGGCTCACCAATGAAGATGCCTCAAGTATTTTTATTTTGACAACACCAACCAGTAACACCTTCTATAATCAAAACGTGCCCACCCAGTGAAATGAAATGTCTGAAGCGCGGAGGTTTGAAGACACATTTGATAGGTTATTAGCATATCAAGAAGTGACCGGTCTAAACTGATTATTGTTTGCAGGAGACATTGTGCACAGCGTTCCCACTCGTGATCTGGTGCGAAAGCGTGACCGAGCGCTTCCATCTAGGTGACTCCATTAAATCTAGTGTGATCAGCATCAAATATTGAAGACTTGCAAGCCTATTGATTTTGGGGATTTATTTAGCGCTTCATACCTTCCATAAATAAAATCAAGCAAATCCAAGGTCATTCACCTCAGGAGTACATGTGCTATAAATACTGAGCGTTGGTAATAATGATTGGTTATATAGTTATATATTATTTAACAAATCTATATTAAGACCAGGTGAAACAAGTCTAAATTCCAGGTTCATCTGTCGAAGACCTACAGAACTATTTATTTTGGGGGCTTATTTACTTGCTGAAAAATTCCCTTTATATTAAAACATAATTATATGAACGAAGAGTATTTTTCTCGGTAATTTCTCACCAAGTTCTATAATTATTATCTGGATTTATTATTGTAGAACCTGGTGAGAAATTATTGAAAATAGTTTAGTTACCGCTACAAATTCATTTGGTGAATAGACACCTCTTACCAAACAAATTGAATCAATTTTATTTAATTACATTTAGGTTGTGTATTGAGGTAGTAAGGCCGTTTTCTAAGGCTTTTTTATTTGACATTTATGGTCAAGAGACCGTTTACTCGTAATCGACTACTTCATTTGATTCTCTGTTGATTTAAGACATACAGTTTACGAGACTTTCGACTTCAGAAAATCCAGCTGGTGCAGAAATGAGTCTGAGTCTACAAATGTATGCCAACTTTGTTGTCGATGAATGCCTAAACTTAATTTGCTGAGCTCTTGATGCTATTTTTGAGTGTCAGTTTACAAAGAGGACACTCCTTAGTCCAGTTGTGGATTTGAATGAAACCATCAAGGTGGACTTCAATAGCGTAGCGGATAACAAACACACAGATGCAGGAGTGGTTTCAAGAAAAAAGAAATTTTACGTTGAGAAGAAACAAATTGTAGGAAGCTCTTAGATATAAGAGTCGATGGTTTCAGATCCAGATTCCCATAACAATGAAATCGGACTATGGAAGCGTGAGCGATGTCGATGATGTGATCGGGAGCTATAATAAGGTCGATGATTGGCTTATGGTTGTGCTCTTGAAAAGAAAATAAGGAGACAGGGTGAAACCCTAACGTCTGACTTCAAATCAAACTGCTGGGATAACATTTCAGGACTAAACCTTCACAGCTTCTTAGTAGGGTCCTCACTGATAGATCAGTTACCTTTTGTAAATTTGGAGAATCCTGTGAAAAGGAACCAAAGGCTAGATTTGAACATGACCTAAGCCTTATTACGTCCTTAATAAGCAAGTTACTTCCAGAAAGAGCGGCATCAGTTCACATCTATAAGCTCCACAGAATAAAACAAAAAGCGGGTTCCGAAAGTATACAGAAATGCCGACTCTCAAGAGTTACCTTACCTTCTGGTGAAAGAAGAAACTCAACGCTGGAAAACACATGAAAACTGACTGGATCCGGAATATATGCCAGTGATGATGGAGGAGCTCAAAACAGTTGCAGATACAGAAAAACCTGTTGTCGTTGCCATATTAGAAGCGCGATCAACATCAGAAGTGCGTGATATGTAAGAGGCAAGACATTGAATTAGTCGTAGTATACATAAGTCCAGTATATGTATTGGATGTCTTCCTCCCAAATAAACCCAAATTCTTGTCAAACAGATGTAAAAGCTTTATGATAGGTGACCTTAATGTACCCACGGGCATCAACAGAAGTGGCATGGGCTAGTTTTATGCAGTTTTCAAGTAACTCAAACTTTTACGCCCTAAACAGTCTCAAAGGAGAAGAAACACGGCCATTCCCAGATGGTCTTTGGGATACAACGGGTTTTGATATTACAGGAGTAGGTGTAGGAATAGGTTTAGTTGGAATATCAGATTTTTTTTCTTTGACAGTGTTATCTGGAGGGACACTGTTATGCTTCCCTACAGCGCATCCCTTTATGCTTAGAAACTCAGAAAAGTCTGTGCTGTACTTATTACAACAGGACCACTTTTTTTTGGCATCATGAAAGATTGGCTCTCCAGGATGGTAATGACAGGAATCTTCCGAATTCTCTTCTGGATCGAACTTCTGAGCACATCCCTTGTTATAACAGAATTGTAAGTTTGCCATTTGAACTATATCAGAGGCTTCGTGTAGATAAATAACCAACTTGTTAAAACTCCCTCTTGTACAAGAAAAGAGGCGAAAAATGGATGGTGAGAAAAAACACGAGACCACTAATAGCCGAACTTTCATATTCTCGAGTTCCATTGCCAAGCAACGAGGATGACTACTCCAAAAACATACGGTGAGTTCCACCTATAAGTTTTCTGCAATCATAAGTTCATTTTAGATGGCACACACAATTATCTGGATTCATTCAGTTGTTCTGATCAGAGCGAGTCCCAAAGACCTCAACAGCATCAAGCACCCTGGAAGTGATTGCCATACTGTATGTTTTATTCTGGATGCTTTTGGATCATTACTACTCCTCACGAATGGCGTTATATATGTCGTCCACTGAATAATCTAATTTTCAAAAATAATCAAGGCGAGTTCAACTATTTTACTGGATGATTTTTTTGTTGTACTTAACATGTATATGTTTTTCAGTTGCTTTTGCCATATATTTGTAAGTGTCACTAAGCTAAATGCAGTAACTTCTTATGGAAGGCTTATAACGCGTCATATTCCTGCCTGAAGTTTCATAAGCAGCCTGGTCGTGTTCATTATTTTTTAATTGTCATATACGTCAACAACCTGCTTGTTAACCTGGCCCGTACATACGTTACACTATATCTCCATGTCTTCTAAATTTAGAAATCATCTGAATCGCCTTTAACATTTATCAATAAACCCATCATGGTCGTTGTTGCTAATCGTATTTGGGTTTATGGATTGGTTTATCATATTAGCAGCCTAAAATGCGAACATAGTTTAGATAATAAGATTAAAAATTTAGGTACTATCAACTGCACTAGTAAAATAACTAAATCCTCAGGTAGCTGTTAGCTAAACAAACGTTTAAAATCAAAACTCCGTAGCCTACTAGAATTAACACTAAACTAATCTTTCTGAATTAAAATTTATAGTTAAATTAGGCGTCTCGGATTCTTTAACGTTATAAATTTCTGATAATTTCGAATCACCTAAAGCAACAATACCTTTTTTTTTCTACTGACTAATCCTCAATCAACACTATAACTAGCTAAACGTAATAGTTTCAGGATATCGTCATAAAGCATTGTCATGACTTGACAATCACGTAATATGATTGATAAAATTAATGAAACTATTAACAATATCGGTCAGCAAATCGACTTATAATTATCACTAGTGTTTTTCTTTTGTCTTCATTCACTACAGATGATTACAGTATGTTTCTCTATCAGTTGCTCATTCAGTAAATATCTCAAAACCTTGTCAGTCTAATTGATGGTTTAACGACACAATCATGCATGCAAATAATCAGTATAAGCAGTCGAGCAAATCTCCTGCAAACTGAAAACATCAATGTCGAATTTACCCCAACACTGACTAAGGTTCAAGTCATTATCATAGACATGAGTTGGGAGTGTACTCCCCCTGGTTACAACTTATGTTCTCCCTGATAATCACATGAGCATCACTCACTGTTAATCATCTTGTAAAAGCTTATTTAGCCGAATACATCCTGCGGCACCACATCACTTCGTAATATGACACAGGCCTAACTGATTTTAATAACCTATAACCACTATATCTCAATTTAATCTTATTCCGCCTTATGATAAACTGCATACTTGCAACTAACTTGTATGCCCAATCAGCCAGCAAGTATAAATATAAATAAATAGTCTATTGCAGATCAGAACATTGAGTCCAGAGCATGTCTCTTACGAACACACTCATGTTTAGCGATTTGTTCCTAGCTATCTGTCCAAAATTCATATAATCATCACTCACGTATTTAAATTTTATTTTGGTAACCATTCATGTGTATTAGTAGTATTACCAGATTCTATCACGGTCAAGTAAAAATGAGGTTGAGAAAATCTCCCCGTAACTAAATAAACCGTATCAAACTAACTGGAACACTAGTTGGAATTCTTTACCATGGTAATACTTTTGTTCCTTCAGTTAGCCTACTGATACAGATGCAATTGGAAATCAACTCTTATGGACAACTTACCGGCATAATCGTTATCCGATTTCATAATTTAAACCAAAACTAATACCAATATTAACATTTCTACAATATTCATTATTTTAATATTTCTAAACACAAAATAATTACTACCTATAAGTCAAGTTATTAACACGCATCGTTTTATTATTATTATTATTATAATCTCATTTTTTATAGTTCAAATAATCTTCACCCAAATTTTCATTTCAAGCGTTTTAAGCATGAAGGCAGATATTTTAAAATTATTACATGTATTTCCCGACCAGATGCTGCCGCTTTCTTTTTGATTTATCTTTCAGCTTACCAATACCCGGAGGATTCTTATTATCCTTGGTAACCTCCGGCGCGCGACGATCCCATCCAATTTGGTATCGAACCAACATCACGTTGATTCTGGTGGGAGAGTAGTGTAGTGGCATTGGACAATAGCCACACAATCCACAAAGCTGTGAACACGAGACTACTCAGAAAATAAATATTCAATATTTAACGCCGAGAAATACCTAAGAATGAAGAAGGCGCGAACAATGAATTGAATGGACTGGAGTTGATCGAGTGGCATGGCTCGGCCATGCAGGCGTGGTCTCTATTCATATTAAATATATTGTTCTTTCTCTAGCCTAAGCTCGTTCTTCATTATGTATTGGTAGTTGTTACGATACGGTGAGTTGGTGTAGTCGATGGTGTGACTTCCACGTAAGATCTTATAGATTAGGCAGTTATATCATGACAAATCTACAATTTCAGGATTAGGTCTATTATTAGAGCAGTACTAATATCATAGTAGACCATAATTCTACAAGTTCACATCTATAAGCTCCACAGAATAAAACAAAAAGCGGGTTCCGAAAGTATACAGAAATGCCGACTCTCAAGAGTTACCTTACCTTCTGGTGAAAGAAGAAACTCAACGCTGGAAAACACATGAAAACTGACTGGATCCGGAATATATGCCAGTGATGATGGAGGAGCTCAAAACAGTTGCAGATACAGAAAAACCTGTTGTCGTTGCCATATTAGAAGCGCGATCAACATCAGAAGTGCGTGATATGTAAGAGGCAAGACATTGAATTAGTCGTAGTATACATAAGTCCAGTATATGTATTGGATGTCTTCCTCCCAAATAAACCCAAATTCTTGTCAAACAGATGTAAAAGCTTTATGATAGGTGACCTTAATGTACCCACGGGCATCAACAGAAGTGGCATGGGCTAGTTTTATGCAGTTTTCAAGTAACTCAAACTTTTACGCCCTAAACAGTCTCAAAGGAGAAGAAACACGGCCATTCCCAGATAGACCGTGATACCCAACGTTTACTAATACAAAAGAAGAAATGTTGTAACATCGTTATCAGCCTTGGGACAGAAATTACGAAAGAACGTTACAGGTCTTTACGAATGGCCAGATACAAATACAAGGTCGAAAATTCGTCTGCTTATTGTAGACTTCGATCGCAACGATTAATTTAAGGCCCTTTACATTTTAGACACGGAGCAGTCACCAGGACCGGTTGGACTGTGCTCTTAAATCGTGAGAATAATTTCGAAAAATAGTGCTGCCCCATTGACCGCGATATTCAATATATCGCTTAGTCACTGTGAGTTATCTACGGACTGGAAGGATGCAATCATCACTCCAATACATGAAATAGGGTCTTGACAACCCTCATCAAACTACAAACCTGTCTGCCTCATTTAGGTCACAATTGAAATACTAGAAAGAATAATCAAAATAACCTTAATGACATTCGTGGGAATTAATAACAGAGAACAACATGGTTTCAGGAAAGGGTCATCTTGCACAACAGATCTCCTCATAGCAATAGAGAAATGGATAGAGGCACTAGATAATGAAAATTAAGTTTATGTTGTCTACATAGACTTCAGCAAAACATTTTATTTATGAACGAACCAATCACATTAGAAATGGATCTTGGATTTTGGCGCGAAACTCATTCACTTATTTGTCTAAGTAATGTTTAGGCATTTTAGCTGATGTCATTTCGTAATAAAAATCCCAAATCTGATTCCTAAACCTAACTGTTAACAGTAGATTATGACCCTAATTCCTGCCATTGGTTAATAGCCCTGACTAAGCCCTACTAAGTAGGTGGGCATTCTCATTGTCACTAGGGTATCTCAAAGGTAGTCCATATGATAAAGTCGCATCGGTGCGAAGAAAAAGACTGCTATTGAGGCTGGAAAGTAAGAACAAATTACAAGTGCTCCACTTGGAAACAAGTACCTAGCGGAGTGCCATAACTCTCTGTCCTAGGTTATTTACTTTTCATATTGTATGTAAATAAACTCTCAAGTATGATTGAGTCCCCACTGCTACTATGCGCTGATGATGTAAAAATAACAGGAGACACAGATGCATGTACACTTCAGGCAGACTGGCTGGTCTGAAAAATGGCTGATGCCCATCAATGCTGCCAGGTGTGTCTACATGCACTTTGGGGAGACAATGGTAAATAAGCACGGTGTAGGGGAAGTGACTGTTCCGGTGATCCGGGTTCACAAGGATCATGGGATGACAGTGAGCAATGATCTTACGGCCTTTTGATATGAGGCCACCGATAAGGAGTTTAGTACCCTATGGGCCTAAAGATGGACATTTAACAAGTTAGGTACTATCATGTTCATCACAGTACACACAGCCTTAGTGGGAACTAAACTTGAAAACTGCATCCAGGATCCAAACCTCTTCACTCTGTTCTACCTCAGATTAAGAAGCGATCTGACTTTTACGTATGGAATATTAAGAAATGATTGTGGATTTGATGTATTCTTTCTTTTTCTTCCTACTAGAAAACTCGGAGCACATCGCAGCAGAGTAGAAAAGCCAAGAGCGAACAAAATACCAGTGGCATACATGTTTTCGCACTGAGTTATCAATACTTGGGATCTGCTACCAGAAGCAGTGGTGTTTGCACCTACACTTTATTCATTCAAGAGAAGACTAGACACTGTTAGAAGCATGTTGGAAAAGGAAAAACATAGACTGTAGGCTTTCTGTTCTTACTACATAAATGTGAACATGAGGTTTTAATCAAATAAAAGATCACCTTGATCCTTGAGATTTACGAATAAGTGAAGCCGTAATAAAGTCATAAGTTTTCTAGCGAACATCTACCAAAACTCAGGTACATATCGAAATGAAAAAAACAGGATTTAGAGTTGTACGTGAATTTAGCGCATAATTCGAAGATGTCTTTTGGCGGGTTTGGGTTTTCTCAAGGTTGCTATGACAAAGTGTGGTATTGTTAGTTAGATGGATTTACTTCACTACACAATAAAGTGTAAAAAGGTTGTACAATCATATTTGGATTCACATGTAAACAGACAGGATCTACTTGATGATTTTTGTGCACTTGTGAGTCTCTACGTAGAAATATGTATATTGTACCTTGTTCCTACTTCAAATATTCTGTGGAGCGAATATGTTTGGCGCTAAAATTCGACGAATTAATTTTGCTAATTTAGTATGCTTTCCTCGGGCAAGAGTTTTGACAGTAACTCTTTGTATTCGTGGTGCTAAAACGTCTGTTTTATGATATATATATATATATATATGTATATATATATATATATATATATATATATATATATATAATTAGTTCATAAATACACTTAGTGATAGATCAGGAACCCAGTGGTCAAAATGTGCAGTATGCATATGTAACCACTGTGGTGGAAAACGCCTATAGGTTGTTGCCTTAAGATGTAGCACTTTTTCCACTCATTATTATCCTGTGTAGTTAAGTCCCTGGGATTTGTTTGCCTTGAAGGTTGCAAAGGTACCGGAGCTACATAATCAAGTTTAAAAAAAATCGACTACTAGACTGATCGTTTTTGTGTTAGTGGCTATGCACTGCTGATTCCCCACTAAAAGTTACTGACTAACTTAGTGAACTTTTCATTCAGTCAGTCAGTAACAACGTAGAACTTTGTGCGTACGTACATCATTTCGAGTTGCCACACCACATTAGCAACTTTTCATTGGTCTATATACAGTGAAAAGTCTTTTTTAGGGAACACTGCGCAAAGTGGGTGGGGTAGTGGTATTCAACAGCAGCATGACTTAGCACTTCGGTCCCTCAATAAAATGTACTGACGTTACCTCCAACTATTTCTCATGTGTTTTTTGTGTTATTGTGATATCTAATGGAAAAGATTTCTTTTTGTCATTCTGGCTGGAAGAAACGTCTCTGTGGCGAGACTCTAATTTAAGGACGAGCCAATCAGAAGCGTTTGAGCAATTTCACGGTCACGGAGCCAAGTTCAACACCTGATGCTGACATACGATCGCTTTACAGCGGGTTTTAGAGAAGAGGTTATTAATGAGAGGCTACAAGAGATGGGACTATTGAGAAGTACTTGTACGTGCGAATGCGGTTGTCAAATGATTGCAGCTAAGTGTCCAGAACACCGTGGTGAGATTGTGTTTCGTTGTCCCACATGTTGGAAAAAAATTCTGCTCGAACGGGGACTTTCTTCGCTCGATCGCGTCTGACACTAAGGCAGATCATGATAATAGTGGCAAATTGGGTAATAAAGACACCAGTAACACTGGCTGCGGCATTTGCAGATGTTACTGAAACTTCAGCAGTCCAGTAGTATGAGTACTGCCGTGAATTACGTGCAAGTAAAATGACACGTCTACGCCTATCGTTCGGAGGAGTAGGATGCATTGTGGAGATAGATGAAACGGTAGTAAGAAAGCGAAAATACAATAGGGGACGTAGTATCAAGGAAGAATGGGTAAGTAGCATTTCCGTAAATATACTTGACAGGTACTTGGAATTTATGACCGATCAACACAAAAGGGACATTTTCAGAAAGTCAGAAACCGGCAAGCGAACACAATCATACCAATTATACAGGAATACGTACAACTGGGCACAACAATATATACGGATGATTGGCGAGGCTATAGGTGCCTACATAGACTTGGATATGTGCATCATGTTGTAGTGCACAAGCGCCATTTCGTCGATCCTACAACCGGCGTACATAATAATAATATTGAAGCTATGTGGTCGAGACTGAACAAATTTTTAAGACCATACCACGGCTCTAGAGGACGACTGTTATGGAGCCATATGGACGAGTTTTTATACCGCATGTATTATGATTTCAGGACTTCTGAACCGTTATCGAGCCTCTACAAGTTTTTAAATCATGTAAAAGAAGACTATCCACTGTAATTCATTACTTTCTTATAATATATTTTCACTCTATACTAACTGTCTCCTGATTGGCTAATAATTGTCAAGGTCATTTAAGATTCGTTCAAAGGTCGTCCCTAAATTAGAGTCTCGCCGTCTCTGTGCAACTGTTTGGGACTACACTGGGCAAATTCGAGCAAAGAACCCAAAGCAGCAGTCTTAAAATTATATAAATTTGCTTCATGTGGTTGATCTTCACTACCCGAACACAATTCGTACAAACAATTAATTTCCAAAAAAGTAATCTTTTATATATATATATATATATATATATATATATATATATATATTACAAGTACTACTGCAAAATGTACTCCATTTGTTGAGAGACTATAGTATAGAATTGCTTAATATAAACGTTCGGTTTGTTGTTTCATTTTCCTTTGTTTTAGGCTTTCCCTGTAAATATACTAAATGATAGGTCACGAACTGAGACCATAGTTTCTGTCGTCCAGAATCGTTCTTCTGATAAAAGCGCGTATGTTTAATATTTTTTTATTTTATGAGGGCTGAAATTTACTTACTTTGAAGTGCTACTCGTAATTCAGCAATGAATAGTTTTAAGTTACACTAGTATTCAGACAGGTCCTAAAAGTAACTTAAATTTGCTTTGCCATTTTAATAGTATTATGCTCGTGCTTGTGTTTATTGAAGACGCACCTTCAGTTCTTCCCCAGGTGACGTAAAGCAGTACAAATACCATGTGACATGATTTAAAAATTGGGAAACAAGTTTTTTATATTGTCTAACAACTAAGAAGCTATTTGCTGTAATATGGATACTCATTTTTTTGAGTAAACTGATCCACTTTTTAATAAATAGGTTAAATTTGATCGAAACCATAAAGTTGTGACTTCAGGATTTACCTTGAAACTTGTACTTCCTCGCGAAATTCTTGTTTCATGTTATTTTCAAAATTAATGTTCACAACACATTTGTTTGAACTGTGAGCTTTCTATCATTTAGTCTCACTTTCTCACTACTTGATTCGTAGGTAGGATTTGTGAAATATTTTGTGTATTGGCTTGTGGACATTATTGTACTCATACCACGTTGTAATGTAAAACAAACGACTGGAAGTTGTAGACAACTCAGAGATCGGTTGTAAATGTGAAGGAAGTTCAAATTCGTCAGTGATTTCAATGACTACTCTGGTAGCGGAGCTTAACTCCGGTTGGATATGCACAGCGATTCGGGTATCGAGTAGTCTTGTATGATGCCACTAATGTCTCTATTATCACCAGCTGACCGACTGCTGCTACTAATACGAGATCATATTATTGACCTAGACTGCCAGATAATTAGAAATAAAAGACATGATTTTTATCCAGATGGGCAGTTTTTCGTATAATAAAATAACTTGTTTATATATTAAGAATATAAACACAAAATGGACATGATTAAATATCGTAGGCGACTGGGAGAAATTAGCTTGTAGGTCACTCATTATTTAATCACTTGTTAATGAATAGGCCTAATCCTTGGGCTTCATATTAGACAAAAACCTTTTTTTCTGGCTAAATGATTTTATGCTTAATATCAGTTCATTTGGAGTTTGTGGCCAATACTCCAGTCAAATAAAGTTATCACTCGGCCTTATCTTACCATTGGGTTTATCTACCGGTCAGCACTTTAATTAATTTTGACGATCGCAATCCCCATCCATTCAAAAAATTACACCCACACTCTATAACAACTGGCTATTCATAGACTGTAAGTCATTACCTATATCCCTTTGCTCTGTATGTTAAATAGCTATAAGGACCCAAGCGATGGAATATCTAAGGGAAATGCGTATATGCATTATTGTTACAACCAAATGTTCAATGTCAGCTTTTTTTTTAAATAAGACGTCTTAAATGTGTAGATTTCGTTTAGAGATATCTCTAGAAGAGTTTCAGAGACTTTGGTGTAATGACTTCAGTTTTCTCCAATTAGTGAGCTCTTTATTGCTCCCGTCTTTATTTCTTATTGCTTTTTCTTGGGATTTTTTAAAACTAGCCTATTTATTTTCTCGCGAGCCAAGAATTTGATTTCGGATCAATCGGATATTCCAGCATTAATTGATTTGATTGTTTTGGATGAAGACTTCTCTTGTGAGGCGACAAGTAAGACATTTCTTTGTTTTTTAAGTAAATTTACAGTTATTTTATTCCGACCATCATAATCTCGAAAGAGAATCGTGGAGTCGAGACATTATAAACAAAATTTGCTGGTTTAATTAATACCCGATATTCTAGTAGTAAATTGTATTCAATTTCACACTGAAATATTTATGTAATTGCTCAATTGATTGATACAGTTGCTCAAATAGATGAGGTAACCAAAACCGAGTTTTTCAATTCAAACTGAATCAACACCAAATGACCAAATCATGAGGTAACTGACTAAGTTAATTTGTATTAGGAAATTGAGGTAGTATGGTCATTAGTTACTTGTCTATTAATAAATAATTGACAGAGAATAAGGTTGTAGATCATTGAGCAATCAATCCGTCTTTTCTGGCCATTGTAACAATGCTGTTTTTTAAACTGGAACTTGAACACCTTGGAAATTTGTCATTTATTTTCATTTTTATTTTCCTAGTACATATGTCCTAATGGAAGAAAATTGAAGAGATCAGTAATTTTAGATCTTAATGAGAGTTGGTTATACTTGGTTTTTATTAATGTTGGGAAACCGAGTGACCAATGCTGAGGTGGGACTCATGATACTAGGTACATATAGCAAACTAAAACGCAACATCAATGTATAAAGTCATTGATAGCTGTTCCAAGTCGTGTTAGTGGGGCTTGACTACTCGGTTGGGGTTCGCATGATTATCGTTACCGATTGTTGGAGAAGTTAAGTGATATGGTTCAGAATCGGTCAAAATATCACTGGCACATTTACTCCTTATCTTCTCGTAGATCATGAGTTCCAAAGTTATCTTGTGCTTTTTCGTTCCACGAATTTTTATTTTCTTAAGTTGTATTGTTTATGCTTTCCATTTTCTACTACCGTTGATATTATTACTACTTTCACTACTCTGGTATCTCGCCGCCCTGATATAGTATGTCAGCTTAATCCGATGCACGTATATGCCCAGATTCTATGTTGCTTGTGAGTGACTGACTGACTGCCTGTTATCTGGGTCCCGCTTTTCTTTTTGTTGTCATGTTGAAAGTAATTTAGGTTCGCAGAATGATAATAATACTAATAATAGTATCAACTGAAAATAATGTTTTGCATAATAGTTAGTGGTTGGTTAAATTACTAGGTTACAAGTATCACTTGGTTTCAGGTCTCAAATCGGTGAGACTGTAATTTATGGACGACCTTTGAGCAGCGCTAAAATGACCTTGGAATGTCTAGCTACTTACTAGGATTAAATGGAACTTATATGTCGGTGTGAGGAATTAGGATTAGGATTTACAGTTGAACGTCAGGGTTAGAAATTAGATTTAATAAGTTCATCACGAACTAACACCAGCCATGATGCCAAAATGGTATTTTGCCAAATAAGTGAATAAATTTCGCGCTAAAATCCAAGATCCATCTGTAATCTGATTGGTTCGTACATAACTCGTCGTTCATGTAATTACACTTCAGGTTTCACATAAAGTGTGTACAATCTTATATTAAATAAAATTTATGTAAGGATTTACAGGATTTCATGTATTTACAATCTTACATTTGTAAGCTTCAGAAAAGTAATTATACATATTCAATTAATAAGGACAACTGTGCATGTTGCGACAAAAATGTTTTTCAGCTATACTAAGTTTATTAACAAAACATTGTTTTTATGTTCTGCTAAGTGCTACAGTCATTTGACACCTGTGGAGTTGTAGGTTTGTTATAGCATATAAATGTTGTCTTTGTTAAAACTTAATTAACTAACACCAACTTTTATATAGTTAACTAATCAGCATTTTTATAATGACAAATAAACTTACATTTGTTTGCTGCTATAAGTTTTCTACTTTTACCATGTTGATGTTTGTTCTCGTCAGGTCATAAGATTGATTATTGTACTGTTTTGATGTGCATATTAAAATTTGTTAGTGAATGGGTTTGAATTACTGTGGTTACATAATCTTTTACTCTCTTTTTATTTCTTTCCACCATTTCACTCCATTGTACTCATAAAGTCTAGCAAAGTTACTAAGGGATATGTGTATTCACGCAAGTTTAGATTATTATCATTATTATATGTTATGAGATGTCTGGTCCAGGTGTTACGTATGCCTGAACACCGATTACCACGACGTGCAATGCTAACTGGTGTTGGGGATGGTTGGAAGAAAGTTAGGGGTGGCCAAACCAAAACGTGGCATCAGTCCACAAAGTCACTAACTTCTAGTCTGAGCCATGTTGGTAGATGCAGACTACTTGGCCGCGGTCCGCGCGACTATCGTAACCAATGGTTGGAGACTCTTGGTGACATGGCTCAGAATCGAACAAAATGGCGTAGGTGTATAGACTCTCTATCTGCCCTTAAACTATGAGATTAAAATCGCATCATATCTTTCTTTCTACGAAATAATTCTTTCTTCCTGTAATATATCCTTATATTCAATCTTTCTTTCATATATTACTACCACTGAATTTACTACTTCTATGAATCCGGTATTCATCTTTTTGTGTTAATGAGGTATGGCAACTTGGACCGATGCATATATGTGCCTGGTCCTACGTTTTAGCTGACTGACTAACTGACTGAGGTTATGAGTGTATGTTTTGGAGAGATTGTTGAAGTTCCAGTTTTTAGGTCATGAACTGATCGTAGCTGGGCCACTGAAAACCCGGAAGCACCTGACAGCCATTTCGTCATTGTATGAGGCTATTCAGCAATGGGCATCCACGGCCCTGGACACAGAAGTCAAACTCAAGACCTTTGGTTTTTTCGCACTTATGATTAACGTCTAAATCACTTGCTCGGTATCCAACGGTGTTCATTTCTAACTTCAACCCATTCATGATACTGCACAACCCTTATCCATTGTTTTCGGTGTTTAACTGTTTCATCTGACGCGGTTATTTCGATGTATATCGTGTGAGATACTGTTCAACATTTATGTTAAGCGCAATCAGTTTGCCTATGTATTAGTCCAAAAACATGTTCGTTAATTGTTCAGTCATGAGTTTAACAAGGATAGTAGGTATCTTTTACACAGTGGTTAGGGATTTTGAATGATATAATTCTGTATCGATCACAGTGCCGCAGGTTGATTTATTCTTTATCTTACTCTAGATCTTGGGCTTCTGTATTCCTTCATACATGTCTTTTCGAATTAAATTTTAAGTGTTTAGCCTTATCATTATCATTTTTGTCTGTTGCTATTCATTTCGTTATTTTCATTTTTTTGTGCTAATGCTGGTGTTATAAACTTAGGGTAATGCATATTTGTGACAGGCTCTATGTTGAATATGACCAACTGATCATTAATAGTTTATACAATTTTTCTTCATATAAGCAAAAAGAGGGAAAAATTTAATCAATTCGAAATCTTTACTATCAAATAAATCACGACATGCTATCGACTGAAAAAATACACTGAGCAAAATGTCTTTTTTTAAAAATTAATATTTACAAGAACAACAATGGGGCATTGGAAAGCAACAATCTTATCACATTTAAACTCTTCGCTATTGTATAACTCCTCATATATTTTAGACTGTGCAATTATATAAGTGGTTTTTACTCTCTCTCTCTCAGTGAATGCCTTACCATTTGAGCTACTCGGTACAGTTTTATGTCCAATCAGTTTGTGATACAGCTCTACGATCATCCAGTCTCAATCATGATAACTGTTCCACTCCTAACATTTCTAAACCTCCACCAGTGACTTTCCAACTAGAGTTGCGGAAACATCTTGAATGAAGTCACTAGTGATCCGAATATTATTGTTTATTTGAAGGAATTTTGTAGTATAATTTGTAGGCTATATTTGTTGCAGACTGACACCATACTAGGACGAAGCAACTGTTCAGTGCTCTCTAGTTCTTAGCAGTAGCCTAACTAAAATCAATGTGCGACCGAATAAAACATTTGAATAATAATATAAATTACAAGAGTTTCTAAATGTCGCAAATCCGAATTAAACGACATAGTTAAATTATCCAATTTCGACATATTGTCTTTTTAATCCGTTAATTTTATTCAGTATTTTCATTTCGTTTGAAAGTAACTTCTAACGGTATTTATTTGATATTCTATCTGGTAATTGTCTTTAGATTATATCTCCATTTGATTAATCACTGATATTCTCATTGGTGCTTTGATAGAAGCTGATAACTATCTAATGAATAGGTAACTGGTGTAAATCACTAATCTACTGAATAACTCTCCAAAGTTTAGGGGCAATCCACTCTTTAAACTCACATCTCGCTCACTGTAACATACAAACATCGAACTATTAAAGCTTTGATATAAAACAAAGTTGTCTCATATTTTTCGTTCCCAACTACTCACTACTTATGGATGTTGAAAATTGTTTATTATCTTATGTTACTAGTAAAATGACAGGGGTAAAAGATATTTCACTAAGCGAAGTACCGCAGTGTGTTCAACATATACACTAACCAAGGTCATAAAATATGTACTATACAAAATTTAGGGTAGATCAGTCTTGTCCCATTCAAGTTACACTCCCTTCCCACCTCACTTACGATAATGCAATTATCTTATTGCTATTCTCTTCGTTTTAAATTTTTCTGGGGGTCGTCGAAATTAAATTCGGTTACTTCGTTCTTTCACGTTTTATCTTCTCGCCATCGTCGAAGTTGCTACTCTTCTATGACCATTTTGGATTTTGATGAGAAAACGTGGTTCTAATGGGTTTATCAGAAAAGAGCGACTTAGTGTGCGTCTAAAATTTATGGATTAAATATTTTACGATTTCATTTTGAGTAGTTATTAGATAGACTGAGTGGGTTACATATCTCATCAAACTTCAGCATTATTCAGTAGTTCCGTCATACGCAGCTAATGTTGTGAATAACGCATTTATGTGAATAAATGTTAAAAACCTGTGTTCTAATGGGAATTACATGTAGTATTTACCACATGAAAACTTTTATCTTTTCTAGACTCTGGTATCTGCCTTCTTGTTACTGGAAAGCGATTGGTCAACATATCTGCCGATGAAAAGAAACGTACAAATCAACAGCTTAAACTTTATGTTGTTTCCAATCGTGACAATGACTCATCACATCCTAAAGTGAATGACACAAGTGATATTGATTCGGATAATGAAATATATTCAAAGAATCCAGTGTTTCTGAAAAGTCTAAAAAGTAACTACCAGGAACCAATAGATAAAGAAAATATTCAATTTTCTGTAAGCTTCTTTTATCTCTGTAGAATTTCACCCTAAATTACTGATATATATTTTTTCATATTAGTATTTACAGTTAAATCATACTTCACGGATGATGACTTTCAGCGACTTTTAAAGTGCCCTAAAGAGTAAGTAAATCTAACTTTTAGCCTGTCAGCATCCGAGTGATTTGAACAAATAATTTGTCAGTGTGTGGGATTTATAGTTTGTAATATTTTCATAGTTGAAATCACAAAATGATCTTAGCTAGGCCACCACTGGAAACCTGGAAGCACTGAACGGCCATTTTGTCCTAGTATGCGACTCCTCTGTAGTGGTCATCCACAACTCCCCACACTGAAGTCGAACCAACGACCTTTGGCCTTGCACGCGTGTTGAGTGTGAGATTGTTATAAACTGCACTCATCAGATGAAGGGTTGCACAAGATCATGGGCTGGTTGAAGTTAGACATTAACATCGTTGTATGTCGAGCAAGTGGTTTAAAGGTTAACCATTAGCGCTCGGGACCAAAGGTTCTGGGTTCGATTCTTGTGTTCAGGGTCGTGGATACTCCCTGATTAGTAGTCCCACACTAGGATGAAACGGTTGTCCAGTGCTTCCAGGTTTTCAGCGGTAGTCTAGCCGCAATCAAATCGTGATTTCAACAATAAAAATAATGTATTAGTTAAAAACTCACAAAGAATTAGGGGTAGGTTTAGGTGTTTGATTAATAGTTTTACGGTAAAATTTACAGTTAAAAGTTTGGGTTGGGAGTTGACTTTGGTGTGAGATTATACTTTATACTCTTGTTAATAAGTACTTATGCAAATGTTCATTTGATTTTAAATCTCAAGAACCTATAAGTTATTTTGAGAAATTTATAAATCACATTACAACACGATGTACATTTTAATACTAGTTCTTTATTATTATTATTATTATTTTCGACAACTTAATCACTTTTTCATTATCGTTTGATCAATTTGTTCACTATGCTAGTATTTCGCAACTGCAAATTCAATACAGTGAATATGACTACTATCCACTTTTTCACTGCCGCACTAATTAGTACAAAAAGACCAGTATAATAATTGAATCTTTTTGATGATAACCTCAGTACATCACTTCTAAAGTACATTTTAGCTAATCAATGATTTGGATTGATGAACTAAGTATTTGTCACTAAACATAAATCATAGTAAAATTGTATTCAAAGTCCACGAATAGAGTTCATACTGGATAATAATGTAATGTTAATAGAAATTCATCTTAATTTAAATTGATTTCTTTTCTTATAAGTTGTACTTGGGGACTACACTTGCCCAACACATTTTGTGATTTACTCAGGTTCATCTCTGTTTTTCAAATTAATCATTTTTATCAATTTTACCACATCCTGATATCTATATATTGGTAAATTTTACTTCGTTCTTACACAAAGTAAAAGCTTACCGTTACTGCGTTTTAAATTTCTCTCAAAACCTGAAGTGTGGCTGTCTTAAATCTGAAAGATTTACCAGTAAATTATACTTTTACTGTTTTAACGATGAAATTTTCTTCAGGACAAATGTGAATACTTGTGATAACTTACTAATTCCTAATAGAATATTTATTCTATAGAGATCTAGTGTTCTCTTATGTGTTATCTTTCACTTTGTATTTCAGTTGTCGATAAAGGACGGTTACTTACTTACATACTTAAGTCTTTTTCTCTTTTTGGAACATTGACCGTTGGTCATAATTTTTTAATCGTCCCTGTGCTGCACTTTCCTTTCTAGTTGTTGTCAAGTGCTATTTGTTCTTTTTTGATATGTGATTCCATTTGTCTGCACAATATGTTCTTTGATCTGCCTCTTTGCCTTTCATTATGAGGATTCCAAGTTAGGGCTTGTGATGTGTTCTACCCACTTCCAGCGTCTTACCTTAATTTCCTCTTCAGCTGGAAGCTGAATTGTTCTCTGTCACAGTAGGCTTTTACTGATAATATCAAACCAATGGATATAGTGTATCTTACATCAGTTTCGCACAGTATCTTTAAATGTTTATTTAGTGTTTTACACCATAAATGCTTTACATTTACAATGATGTGATATGAAAGTTGCTTAAAATTTCTGGGTGCATTGTAAGGCAAGTAAGAAAAATTTAGTGATTGGGAGGATTCTTGGGAAATCCATGGAATTTTCGGTACTTGAGTGTCAGTGGTTTCTGTTTAGTCATTCTTGGCCGAAATAGCCTTAATAAAAGATTTTGTTCATTATTATTTCCCGTACTCTTTGTTCGTTTATTTTTCTTCACACTCTCACCCCTTTTTCCAAATATACGCTTCATTACCCAATTGTCTGAAGACTCCCTACTACGTAATCTCATAGTTTTTATGAATGTTGTTTCAGCATCTATATTTTTCAAGTCATTGTCCTACTTCCTATTATGAAACATTGATTCTTATCACAGCTAGTATCCCTGCCGTCATACTACCAAGTTGTACTCTTTACTTATTTTTATTTATGCAATCTATTCCACTGTTATCGCTGATTCATAAACTGCCTTGATTAGTTCTATAATTTCGTGTATGCATATAAATATTACTGTATATTAAAGTAAATCCTGATGAGGATCTAATTGAAAACAATATTGTTCGTTTATATCTGTTGTCCTAATTCTTGTGAAAGTTTTATTCAAGGTGTTCAAGGGCCAATTTAGCTTTTGAGTAATACAGAGCAGATTGTTGCTCAATATATGCAGTGTTTGATAGGTGAATGGACAAATTACCTGTACCACTAGTGTTATATCTTGAAAAAAGCCAAACAAACGTTTTGTATCCGTTCTGAGATTTTATTAGTCAACAATCTGTTAAGTTATGTGCAATCGACCGTCTCAGTTACTACTGCACAGTTTTGTTAGACTAGTCATTGACCACTGACTTTTAAAAAATTTTGTACTTAACAGGAAAGAAATACATTTTAAACAATTCCATTATATTATCCAAGGCGTCTAAAAGATTATACGTCATAGTCTACATCTTCAAACAGAATTATGTTATCATATGTTTGGTTGTACAACTTTTTTTGTTAAATGTTCCGTTTTTGTTACTCTTCAGACTTATTTTCTAACTCTTTTGTTCCTCATTACTACTCATTTTACACTAATGCAATAAATCAGTAGTATATATGGTTATATTAAATAGTTATACTTTTTTATTATGTAGTTCACTTGAAAATAAAATTTCTAACTTTTAATTCATTTTAGAGTGTCAATTTTACTTTGGAATTTAATAATGTAGATGATGCCAAGGAATTTCGGAAGAAAACTCTTCATTTGTCTTCCGGATATCGAACAAAGTTATCGGAATTTAATTATGCTAAGTCATCTAAAGAGCGAACAACCTATGAGATGGGTAAAGAAGCTTTAGCTATTTTGAATTCCTCTTCTTCTGAACAAACGTTTTGGTTACAAAAATATTGGTACGTTCTATATTTGGAGTGTTGTGTGTAGTTTAAAACTTTAGTATTAATATGATCTGCATTATTTTAATCTCTTGTTATCCCCATATTGTCGTGCTAATCAGGTATGGGAACTTGTGCCAATGCACATTTTTGCCAGGCTATATATTGATGATTTCTGTCTGTCTGACTTGGAGTTATCACAAGGTTGTATCTACTAGTTGGTAGGAAACTCTGAACTTAGGTTTCTTGTTAATCGGCATTCGTTAATATTGTGTACCTGCAATATTGATGGAACTGATCCTTCCTGTAGGATTCGAAACCATATCATCTGGCCTCACAGTCCGAGATGATAACGCAAGTTTTTATTCGGTCCTTAATTAACCTCCAATGTCTCCGTTGATTTGTGTAGTTGGTAACGACTCGGTTATAGTTTTAAATGAACTTGTTGACTTTTAACATTCTTCAAGTTGGGTCAACTCATTTCATAACGCGACGGCAACATTCTGTCAAGTGATACTAAGTCCTTTTTTAGCGTGGGATCGTTGAAAGATTTAACGTGATGTAGATAACTGAGAAAATTAACAATATGAGGTCAGTGGCTTAAGAAGTGAACTTTCAACTTTCTAGTTGCAAGCTCAGATTTTGTTCAATTTATTTCAAGCTGTCGAGTGGTAGCGTCCTTATCTTCCTCATGAACTTACGGTTCACTAACTATTCAAGTAGGTTGACTTTTTGTAGATGGGGATCAACAGACTTAGACCGACTCTTCTAACAGATCAACAAATTTTCATCAAGAATACAAAAATGGTTGATTGATCGTTTGTTATCCTAGAGAGCAGGATGTCTTTCGACCATGAAATCGTGATTTACTTGTGTTCATATGTCTAATTTCAGTTAATACACGTTTTTGCATTGAAACCTAAATATTTAAGTAGTAGTACCTTAATGGCTTTGTTGATTTGATTCAAAGAATAATACAAAGTCGTTTCATCAGTAAAAATCATCTTGAATGAAAGTAATATAGGGGTAGTGTAACAATAAAAGTTTTCATTGTTTTAGACTTTTTTAAAATGCACTTTTCTGTCCAAAAAACATTTCTGGGATAATTGTGTATATGTATATAACATAAAATTGTGTTGCTCTACAAAATAATTTTAATACGTACTAATTTAAAATGATTGTTTTATTCTTAAACTGTCAATTATGAAACAGATGCTTGTTTGCTAAAATGTTTGACTTTTTTGTGTTACAGCTTCATATCTATTTCTTCATTACACTGCCTAAGTAGCATCTAGTAGAGTTTGTTACACGAGCACTTGCGACGAGTAAATAAAATTTTTCAAATTAATTTTTTTTGTTGGTAAATTTTTCAAATGAACCAAAGTAGACTATGTATTACATTTGCCCAACCACTGCCTACCTCAACGTGCTATGTTTTCTGGTGTAAGTGTAAGTTGGAAGAAGGCTAGGGTCAATCAATACCAACGTAGAGTCTGAGACATATGTACACTGCCTCAAGTTTCCATAACGCATTTATATGACGAGATACCCTTAGAAGGCTAAGTGTGGCCAAACCAAGACACGTGACATCAGTCATTGTCAGTTGGTCCGAGTAGTTTTGTTAGTTGACAGATACTTAATTTCGGTTCACTTGATTGTCGTAACCAGTGACTGAACATGTCAGGTGACGTGGTTTATGATCTTACACTAGCGCAGACGTATCTATTCTTTGTCTTTCTTCAGATCTTCAGTTTCAAAATCATCTTATTCTTTTTATTCTATAAATTCATCCTTCTCGAGTTTGTGTCTATGCCTAGTGTTTTCTACTACTCATACTGTTAATATTTCTAATTCTCTGGTGTCCGCTTGATGTCATTTCTCTGTATTGATGTGCTGTGTCAACTTGGTCCGATACACATATGTGTCACGTTTTATATCGCATCTAGTTCGTTGGCTGAAATTGAACTACAAATAATTCAAACTACTCCATTATCCGGTAAAAGCAATGTTGAGAATAAAATTTCTTTAAGATTCTCGTAGTTGTATAATGTTAATTAGAGAATACATTTTTTAAAAAACTCCAACGATCTTATCTTATGTGTTATATCCTTAACTATGCGATTATCACGAAATACGATTGCCAATTTAGATACGCTGACTTGTACGACCAAACTAATGACTCATGCACCAGTACGAGCAGCCTAGAGTTCCGATTGACCCATTTTCCGCATTGCCCTGCCTGTTAAGTCCAGGACGCCAATATCAGCCTCCGCGATACGAATCATATATTTCAAACATACTTGGTTCATATACAAACAAAATCAGACGACATCACACCATAAAATGGAAAATAACAATTGTATAAAATCAAACCAGAAAGTGTTTGTGATTGTTAGAAACTGTTACTAATAAATTAGGAATATCTGAAGAATGGTAAATTGTATGACAATAATCAATAGGTCAAATTAAAGCTTATAATAAGAGTTTATTATCAGAAAGGGGGTTTTGTGGATATTATAGTAATTTAGTAGTTGAATTCATGAGTCAAGTAAAGCTAGACTGCCATGGAAAACCTGGAAGCACTGGACGGCCGTTTTATCCTTACGTGTTCACGCGCGAGACCGAGAGGTCCTGGGTTCGAATCCCGCGAGCGGGATCGTGGATGTGTACTACTAATGAGTCCTATACTAAGACGAAGCGGCCGTCTGGGGTTTCCGTTGTCGTCTAGATTAATTGACTCCTGAATTCAACTATTACCTATGTAGTTTAGTTTCTTAATGGTTATATAATAAGAATATATGTACAGTATTAGTTCATAAATAGTTCTCATAAGTTATCCATAATTTAGTCCTCTCTAGGATGTAACATTACGTATATATAGCTAAAAAATTCCAATTTTTTGAGCTTAATGACTTTATTTTGTTATATATATGGTTATTCCATATCTTATGCTATATTTACCTATTCATATGCCTATCATGAGTCCAGAAGGATAATTTTTGTAAGTTGAACAACGAAAATATGGGTAGACACAAAAAACCTTTCAAACAATTGTGTGTGTGTATCCTAATTTCCATTAGCTACTCAGATATTCATTACAGTAAATTTGAAATATTTTTGGTGAAAATTTACCGTTCATATACCTTTTTAATAGGAAACAAATGGAACAGACAAACACTTCATCCTCTATCATTAATACACCTCGACCAGGGGCGAATATCACTAGTTCTGTTGGATTAAATGGTGACAATAAACATAATCGTCATTTAAGTGGATCCTTACCACACAGTACTTCTAATGATACATCTAGTATAAGTGAAACAATAAATATGAATAGTAGTAGTTGTTCCAGTATTGGTTCATTCAATCATAGTGTTAAAATAACACGACAAAATGAAATTGAAAAACTACCTACTACTAACGTTGATGATAATAACAATAATACTAATAATAATGGTTATAACAAAACTAAACTAAAACGATCTGTAAAACATTCAACGAAACTGCGTCATTCCCAATCATCTTCCATATTATATCCATATACGGCAAATCATTTACATGATAATGATAATCTACTATCGAATCATTTGATTGACCGATCAGTTCCACTTACTCGAAAGAATTCACCATCAAATCAATTAGATGTGGCTATTCCCTTGAATGATTTACACCGTGTAAGTTATAATACATTTTATTGATATATTTGTTTAATATGATGTGACTTGCTTTTCTATATATTTTTTTATATTCACCAAATATGATTTGTTACATTTTCACTGTACTGTTAACATGATACAGATCTTTTCATGTTAAAGTGAACGTGTGTCTAATTGATAAGTTGACCATTAAAAGTAAATATGATAAAAAAATTGACTCTGGTCTTGGGATCTAATCAGTGACACTAACTAGGGGGTAAGTTGGATTCCGGTTAAGTTTCTATTGGACTGAAATATTCACACATTGATAGTTCGCATATTAGTAATTAATTTCATATTAAGTTTTTTGTACTGATTGATCAAATTCTGTTTATCAAGTTTAACATTTTATTCATTTTTTTATTTTTTGTTTGAATCTTCCCACCGATGTTTTGGACTGTAACTCATCAGTTTTTTATTATATGTGCATCTTGTGTGGATTGCCTCGATATTGCCTAAATCACAAGCATTATAAGGAGAGATGGGTGGTAATCTTAAATTTCAATATTTTTCCGTATGTACATTTTCACTCTGTCTTTCCGAACTATATTCTCTGTTTTTAGTCTCTCTTATCACCACATTATTTCGGTCTCTTTTACTATACACTGTGCTAATTTCATCTTGTCTTGCTAATGTAAAGTAACAATTTGTGCCACTACACATCTATACCGAGCTCTATGTTGATGAAGACCGTCTGACTGAAGCTGTCCACAAATTAAGAAAATGCTAGAGCATCTACTCTAGCTACAAATCTTCTCCATCATTTAGAAGAAATATTTTGGTGAATTTATTGTCCGTAAAATAATGGTATATTTCAAAATATATAACACCGTATTTATAACTTAACAGTTTTTATCATTTGTAATAAACCGTGTGAATATGCTTGGTAATCTTTTATTCATTACTTTTAATTCTAGTCAAATTTACTTGTGTATTATTGTGTTCTGAAGGAAGTTTATGTCAGTCCGTCAGGTACAACGTAGGACCAGGCACATATATGCATCGGTCCAAGTTGCCACACCTCATTAGCAGAACAAAGGAAGTTTATGGAAATAGGGTTAGAGCTTTTATTGAATTCAGTTGCTTTTAATCAGGTCTATTTTCTGATTGACATGATGAACTGATCTATGTTATACCATCATTAATAACCTGAAAACACTTTATGACCGTTTCCTCCTAGTATGGGACTCCTCGACAGTGTGCATCTACAACCCCGTGGATCGTTGAAGTCAAACATTACACTGTTGGATACCAACTCAGTTGTTAGAGGTTAAGCGTTTTCATGCGGTGTCGAATATCCTTATTCAGTTCGCGCATATGGGGTTGTGGATGCCCACTGCTGAGGGGTTTCATATCAGGACGAAACGGCCGTCCAGTGCATCTAGTTTTTCGGTGGTAGTCTTACTTAGATCAGTTCACAATTTCAGTGAAAAAATCATTGAATCGTATTGTCACAGGTTAAATGAACACAACAATTTTATACTCACTAATGACTAGCTTTGACAGGAAATTTACAGAGTTCTACTAGAAAGCCGTGACCAGTGGAGTTCAACTGTATCTGATGTGAAACAGTTACCCTCTGAAGACCATGAAACATGTTCGCACTTTTCCGTGGATTGATTGATGTTTGACATTAACATCGTTAAATGCTGAATCAGTGGTCCAGAGTTTAAGCGTTTTTCTGAAAGAACGAAGGTTGTGGGTTTGATTTGTGCATACAGAATCATGTATACGCACTATGAGGAGTCCTATCCTAGTAAAACACGCCCGTCCACTGTCCCCCGGGTTTTCATTAGTGTTGAAATTTATATCAGTCGATGATTTCGATGAAATAATATTTTAGTTCAAACCATAACAATTGTCCATAATTATATAATTGTATTTATTACACTTTAAAATTTTCAGTGAACCTGTTATTTTGTTTACTGTTTATTTGTCAAAGAATTTCTGATGGATTTTTTCTGTTTTGTTCAGGATTCTAACTAGAAGCCGATTATAAAACACAATATTTTAAGTATTACAATTATAGATTGTTAATAATTAAACCTATAGTTTTTAGAATATCCCAATGATATTAATGTATAATAGGAAATTCTATATTCAAAGATTTATTTTAGAAGAACTTAACTCATTCTGTTGATAATTAGTAAAAACCGCATAATTAGAAGGAGATTAAGATTATTTACCAGAATGTTTTTTGATGTTGACTATATCTTTTAAAATTTCCCCTTTCTTTTCTCGATTTCTTTTATTTCACAGACAGTCACATCAGCACATAGCTGTGCGGATCTCACTTCCGATTCTACTGTTCACGATGATCATTTGAGTAAAAATAAGAATGAGTAAGAATATGATAAGAGTTTTGATTTGTTTTCTTTTCTTCACATCATTTTCAGTATGATTAATATTCTTAATTGATACACTTTGTCATACTTTTTGATTTTTGATAAATTCCGTGCTGAATGTAATCTGTCGATCTAGGCTAAAACAGATGTATATATGTTTATAAATAACATGAAATCCAATCTGTAAATTACTGCGTACAGGATTATGTTGACTAGTTGAATTTTTTTAGTTCCAGTTCTAATATAAGAATCTGTGATTTCAATAGAGTTCAGTCATGTAGAATTTATGACAATTACTACCAAAGCCATAGATGTTGGTTGAGTAATATTGCAAATTGACTGGAGTTCTAGGTTTGAACTATTGGATTCCAATTTGATAGTGCTAAATGACCATTACTTGACCTGAAAGCTCTTTGTTCCATGCTTGATGAGGTTGGGATGCATACTATTAAGTAATCATATACTTGGACGAAATAGTTATCCAATGGTTCCTGGTTTTCTAACTAAAATTAGTCGTTGATGTAAAACTACATAATTAAAATATATTATATTGGAAAAAAAAAACAGTAATTTGATTCTAAAAGAGTGATTAAATAAATAACAAGGAATCGCTCAAGATTTTAATCATAATTAAAAATGAATAAATTTGCATCAATATGATTGATATAATCAACTATTTCTACTGAATAATTTTTGTATTGTTTTAGAAAATGAGAAGACGGAAACTGACTGTCTAGCGCTAAAGTCAGGTTGGTGGATACGGAGGATCCACGTAGAGGAGTTGGAAAACTCTAATTTCAAACCACTTGTGCACATGGGCTCCAGAATCCTAACGGACCAAATGGTATATGAACCTATTGTTGGTGATCGACTAGTATGGGACGGCATCTTGTGACGTCGATCGCCTGTGATGTTGATTAGAGGTGTAGGTGAAATACTTAAGGAATGGTCCCGTTAGAAAATCATCTTAATGTGGTATCGCATACTTTTAAGTGTTAATACTACATGGAGTTAGAATCGCTTTAAATATTTCACATTTATTGCATGATTTTTTAGTTTGTAAATACACTCAGCAATTGTATTGTCTCATATTCTTGTAGACATAAAAGGGTACTTCAATTATACTCCAAAGGAACTCAATTTTTGACGGATACAACCTACAGATTAAACTAACCATCATTAAACCTATTGAATTGAATTGTTAAATTTGCTCACATTTCTAACAGTCAGAATCATTTTCAAGATATCAAGTTGTTTAACTTAAAAAATAATATGATTTAGTATCAATGCTTTCAAATCTACTCAAAATTCAACATCATATTTTATTGTAATCTCTTTAACACTATGTATAATATCGCCTTATTTTCATTTGATTCTATAAGATATCTAGAACCACGTGTTTTTCGGGCACGATTCAATCAAGCTGGTAATATTATTCAAAGAAAATTAATTGAACGTATGCATGAATATTCTAAGATTGAAAAAATTCGCATTTATGTCGGTACATGGAATGTGAATGGTCGAAGTGATACTAATGGTAATATACAATTGGATAAATGGCTTATATCACCTAACGGTCAACCACCTGCTGATATTTATGTATTTGGGTAATTTCACCTTCGATTCTGAAGATTTATTGTTATCTTTTCTTTTGTGAAACACTGACGTCATCTAACGAAAAACATCCCGTTGGGAATTTATAAAAATTAAAGAACTTTGGAACCATCTTGTTTGTGTACTTCGTTTTGTGCCCTTCCACCGCCTGGTTTGGCTACCGTATTCGCATCCTACAGTAAAGCAAACTCACTATACAAATGAGAGCACTGAATGGGATAAAGGGTTTGATTGTTTAACCGAATTATAATGTACACAAATTATATATCTATAGATTTGTGATTTCAATCTAGACATGTACATATCTGAGATCTTCAGTCGGTCCATAATTGGCTTCTTCCGATTTCTTTGCTCGTTTATAATCTTTCATCCACCGCTTGATTCTTAGATATCATGTGGACACAAGCACTTGATGTATCTCTGCCCCCTCAGTGGAAACTGTTCAGCCAATTTATACTCGTGACTAGCATATATGGGAAAATGGACTAAATAATTTTGTCTCTCGATATATATATGGAACAGTACCTCAATAGTTATGTCACTCAACTATCAACAGATGAGTCCCTGGTTCGAAACCTGCCTTATGCACATTGGTCTGGGTAAACGGTTAGTATCACAACCTTCACATTTAGCGTAGGTTTGCGATGTGCAGTAGTGAAACTAAATATGATTGGTCACTGTGTGTGGACAAACATTCACTCAATTTAATGATGATTAAATATGTAACTTCCTTTTCTCTTAATAATTTCTGCTCCCAACTGACTGAGAGGGATTGCCTGTAAATGTGTTGAATAGAGTATTGCCTAGCGTTACTCTGGTTCTCTATTTTGATCATAAATTAGATGTTTGATGTGACGTGATCTAATCAATTTATGATGTATTGTTCGAGTACCCCAATTTAGCGATATTATAAATTCAGTCACCTTGACCAGTCTCATTCTCGTATAATCATTTTATCATAGTAGCGTAGGATATTGCGAAACAAAAAAAATATTTAAATTGATTCTTCATCTCAAACTCGTAGTCAGGTTTACGACTGTCTACTGTAGAATTGGCATATATTATTCAAATACATCATATAATTATGTTTAGTTCAACATTTTCTTAGGTGGTTTCGTTTAAATGTCATGATTTTATAGAATTTAGTTAATTAATTCAACTGTAAAATCGTCTATCAATCTTTACTCAAATCGGTTGACATTACTTTTACGTTTGTCTACGAATTTTATATTTGATCATAAAATATTTTAACTGAATTATTAAATTAGAATACTGTTGTTAGTTTGTTTAGTCAAAATAAATGGAATTGCTTTTGCTTGTTTGATCAACTGGGTAATTAACCTTTAAATATATTTTATTAGTCGAATTCACGAGTCGATCTAAGCTAAAACACCATTGAAAACCTGGAATCACTAGACGACCGTTTTGTCCTAATAGTGTTCATCCACGACCTTACATACGGGGATCACACTCAGGACCTTCGGTCTTGCATACGAACGCTTAACCTCTAGATCAATGAACCAGCATCCAGTGGTGTTAATATCGAACTTCAATCGATCCATCCAGTGCTTCCAAATTTTCAACAGTGGTCTGGCTTAAATAGACTTGTGAATTCAACTACTAAATTTATTACAATCTCCACAAATCCGCATTCCTTAAATAAATTTTTTAAAATCTTAGTTCAATAATCTACAGTATCTTAATGGTTCAAGCGTATTGAACCAAGTTATTTTCTTCTAAATAAAAAGGAAAGTGTATTTCTATTTTTAGAATTTTTCTATTTGTGATTGTTTGCGGTCTTAGTATCTAAATTTTTTTTATTATTCTGTCATTCATTCATTTTACCATAGGTTTCAAGAAATGGATTTAAGTTTCAGTGTAATTACTCTAAATAAAACTAGCTCTACTGGACCCGAAGAACGATGGATTCAACAATTAGAAGAAGCTTTAGGTGGTTTACTCAAACGACCTTCATCGCATTCTGTTTGGGCTCAAAGAACAGGTTCTGTAAAATCATACGCTGCTCAATGGTCTCATTATACAGGAGGTGGCTATTTACGAGTGGAACGTGTTCGCCTAGCCGGAATCATAATGATTGTTTACATATCAGCTCGTTTATCTTCTCATTTACGTCGTGAAGAGATCTCTTGTCAAGTTGTACCTACAGGTGTTTTCAACGTGATGGTTAGTGCTTTGTCATTGTCACTAGAATTCGTCATTTTTGTAATTGGGATTGTTGATGGATGACTTCTTTTCTTTTTCACATTAGCATAAAAAAGTTTACTGCACAAACACTTAAAAGTTTTTGAATATCATAACTCGTGATCGAATAACTTGGGCAATATTGTACTGACCATTATACTTCTTGTCTACAAACGATCTGGTTAATTCATATGGAATAGTTAGTTCTTTTTCATTTATTAGTTCATCAATCTGGATCTGGCGAGTTTTATGAACATGGTTTGTAAACGTTAAAATGCTGATCGATCAATACTGTACAATGATACGAAATGTGACCGAATCTTGAGTGACATAGCCCAGAATTAACCACAATAGCTGAGGTGCATTTTTTCTACTTCTCTATCTTAAGTCTGGATATTCCTTCATGCGCATATCTTTCCACTTTGTCTTTTCGAAATATATTCTCAATGCTTAGTTTTTCTTATCAGTATTTCTATTAGATTACATCGGTCACTTTTATTACTTAGTTATTTTCATTTTGTTTTACTACTGATGATATGATAATATGGGTCCTATAGGCTCCATGGTGATTACAACTTATGAATAACTTCAAGTCCATATCCTTCCTTCCTTCTTTCTTTTTTTAATTTCAGGGTAATAAAGGTGGTGTTGGCATTCGATTGACCATATTTAATTCTTCTTTATGTTTTGTTAATTGTCATTTGGCTGCAGGTGAAGCGAATCTTGATCGTCGTAATCAAGATTTTCGAGAAATTACACGTAAAATGTTATTTGAATTTCCGATGAACTCGAAAAATCCCATACAATCATCTGAAAAAGCGTTTATTTCAGATCATGAGTAAGTTTTCATTATTTCAGTTGTATGCATTTTTCTTTGAATTTTTTAAAAGTAGATATTGACACTTTATTTATGTTATAAATCGCCTATAAGATGAGATTAATGTGATTTGTAGTCCATCACTAGCAACGATACACCTATTCTATATAAGACTTGACAAAATATCTATATTGAGGCAATCCGCACAGCATCCATTATTTGGAGAGCCAATCAGAATTAGCCTAATAGGAAGGCCAGTCAATGGCAATCAGAAGTGACCTAAAGAACGAATGCATTTAATTAGCTAATAAATGGATCAATTTCTTAAAAATTAGTGGTATACATATGAAAGAGTATTTGTGCATTTTACTTGGCAGCACAATACTTTTTCTCACTCTTGTTTTCTCGCTCAAATAGTCAGTTGGGTGGGTAGCGCGTAGCACTTCGTCTATCAGTATCAGATTTTGTACACCACCCATCACAACACTATGCGTATCTCAACAAAGACTGACTAAAATGCAGTCGAGATTACTAATAACGAAATAATTACAACACCTTTCAATAATAATATTTTTATCATACTCATTGTATAAGCGAGTAAGTTATCTGGACTCAATAGTTCAGTGAATATTACCTTGTGCGTTTAGAATGAAGGCTACTGAGTTTGAGCTGCGGGTGTGAACACCAGCCCTAGGATGGAGGCATATGTAACTGTTAAGTTACAAATAAGACAAAATCCTCATCTTAGTTTCCTCTTCTCACCACAATCCACCTATTCTATATAGCCTGTGGTGTTTTTCATTTCTCGTTTTTCGATTTTAGTCGTACATTTCATGAGTATAAATTTACTATTTGGTAGTAACACTTTAAACATGAAGTGTTGATGTTGTCCAGAATAATAATATGAAAGCTCTACAATTAAATCATCTAGCTCGGAGAACCCAACGCCACTACCATAAAACACTGTAAACAATTGACTGAATCTCACTTTAGTGCTATTTTAACGGAAACTGACTACTAATATGTGTATTATCCTTTACAGTATTAACTTTATACAAATTCACTATCGTATCAATATAATTAATCCAATAATGAAAGAATAGCTCATTGATTTATTAAAAAGAATGAAATCAGTTCTCAGTGAAGATAACTTTCGTTTTTTGAAACTGTACAATCGTAATATTTATAGATTACTTTCTTTACATTTCGTAACCTATAATAAAATTCCCTGTACATACAATTGTGCAACTTCGAAAAATGAATTTGTCTTCATTGAGAACTGCCTTCATTCTTTTTAATCCGATCACATTTAATCTTGATTAAATTCACTGGATTATACTCATTGAATAACGTCTTCAAACCCTAATCTTTCCGATTACTGCTTATACTCTTACTACCTCTACCACTACGGGATTTGAATCGACAACTGCATTTCTGTGCTAATGTGGTACGGTAACTCGAACTGATGTACGTACGTACGTACGAAGTTCTACGTTGTTACTGACTGACTGACTGATTAAATTATGCGGAGGTAATTGTTACGTCAGTTCGGACTAACACATTTAATTATTAATTTTTTAATCCATATATATATATATATATATATATATATATATATATATCACATTTATTCATGTAAAACAATACAGTTTATACTTTGAAGCTGCTAATTTCAATAAAACTAAAGTGTCTACATTCTTATGTCTATACTTTTAAATCTATAATTAGCTCTAATATATTTTTGTTTTTACAATTAAGAGAAATATCTTACTGTATTATTATTTTTCATCACAGAGAAATTTGTTAACTGTGATAAATTTTATTCGAATTTTGTCCGAGTTATTACTTAAAATACTCCAGAAAGTTGAGTTAATCAGCTAATCATGGTAGAGAGTGTAGAAATCAGAATCTGAATTCAATGTACTACACGGAATAAACGATTGAGTGAAGAGAAGTTAATTAGAGAAAGTGATATATACTTTAATGGAATTCTTGCTCTAAGCAAACAAACGTTATGATCGATTGGTGTTTATGATGACTTGAACTGCTAATAATCTGTAAACACCTTTGCTCCACATGGAACACATTTGTGTCTATATCTGCACGTGTACCCTTGTTAGAACTGAATCGATAGCTTAATGATTGAGGTGTTCAACTTCTAACAACAAGGTCACAAGTAAGAGTCTCATTCCATCTAATTTAGTTTAAGAAACAGGGTAATATCACTACCCTCCCTTCATACACGCAGTGGGATTGTATATAAAGTATACAAATATATACTTTATCGTTCCAATTGTTAAAGGTGGATGATAAATTATTTCCCTAATTTCTTAGTTATATATTATTTTGATTGTTAATTGTATGTACGATTTTCTATTTTCTTACATTCATCATCTAGCATTATATTTGTATTTGGTGATTTAAATTATCGTATTAGTGGCCTGGATTCACCTAGTGTTCGTAAATCTATTTTCGAAAAAGATTTTTCTTCTTTACTCAAATATGATGAAGTTAGTTAATAGTTAATGATCATTTTTTTCTTAACACTACTGTTAAACATTTTGCGGTTATTGATTTTATACGTTACCTCTCGAATAAGTACGCGAACAGAAGTGATAAACTCTTTGTTTTGCAAAGTTACTAATTTTAGTTATTGGATTTTAGGCACCTATTATTTCTTAGTGATTGACAGAGGTATGAATCTTCATCAATTGAAGTAACTGGGATATGTAATATAAGTGATGAACTATCATTAAATGATATTCTGGATACCACATAGAAATTGATTCAGAAAACGCTAGGATTTTTACACATGAAAAGATTGTTGTCAGCGTACGATGATTTTTAATCATGAACGGTGAGAATATTCTTGTAACACGAAACTTTATATACATGATTCCATCATACCAGACGACTAATGCACAACACTTTATCTGTCATCCTCAACTCAATGGAACAGTGCTCAAAAATAGGTTGATATTTAAAATGTCAAGTTTGTGATGGGTAGACTTCGTTTATAAACACAGCAACCAACAGTGACCATGAAACACAAGCATTTTAACAAATCAAAAGTGACAGTTACCAATCATGTATAACATTAAAGGTCAATGTGGGAGAATGAATCAGAAAAAAATATTACCGTTATCTTTACAGAAAAAATCCCGATATTTTTAAACAATAAAGTGAATAAAATAAGATTTCCTTAGCAAATTACTAGTCCATGCTGTTCCTACAAGTGAAAATTAAGTGATGTTAAAGTCATTCTAGGTGATTGTGAACTATCCCTGAAGACATCTTAAGAGAGTGGCATAATTTTTTTTGTTTTTGTTGAAATTAAGATCTAGTCAAATTAGTTTTGGTGAATAGGTGTAGTCGGTTAATCTTGTTATCAAATATCAGGAATATCAACTATCAGTCAGTCCCAACGTTGAATCTCATATGTATGTACATCGGTTCAAGTTACCATACCCCATTAGCACAGAGATGAAGTTGTCAGGACAAATCCCAGTTTCAACTATATCGAGATCGTTTATCATATATGTATTCAGATAACCCATAAATCAACATTTATGTCCTGTTCCATTCAATAACGATTTCAACTAATAGATAGATCTATCAGACATTTTGTTCTGAATATCAACAACTGGACAATCAAAACATTTATAAAGTATTATTTGTCAAGTTTTCATTTATAATTAATACAAATTATATTCTGTAAATGGTGATCAAAGTATCCTAAATGTATATCGTATGAATTGGTTGTTTTTCTCTTTTATATACTTGTTGAATTAGTTATTAAAACTTATGGAGAATCGTAATTTATTTGATGGTTTTCATGAACCTATTATCAATTTCGCGCCGACTTACAAATTCGATATGAATTCCAATGTTTACGATTCTAGGTAAGTGGTGTACATATGGTATATGAATTTCGATAGTTGTTTGTTTTATTTCTTGAATATGTGGAGTTTGATGAAAGAAGTTTTGTTCTTTAATTAATAATTCATTATTATTTTGTGATGTTCCCTCTGATTAGATCGTTTTTTGAATTTTTTTTTGAAAATATTGACTTGAAGTGACATGAAATGAGTTCTTATTGAAGGGCTTGAATAGTGTATGAGGTAAGTTGCGATCTGACCGAAACTGTAAAGGTATGCATCTTTGAGTTTCGACCTAATGTACGTAGCATCAGATTTTATCCAAAGGTTGTAATTCCGAACCTATCAAATATCATGTTTGCTGAAGTTTGGGTAACTAGAAGAAATTAATTCATTTCTATCTATCTAATAATTCTCTCAGTCGAGGTGATCTCTCATACTATTAGAAGTGTATGAGTAGTTGTCACTTTCCAGTTCCGCACATTATGAGAAAATACTTCCTAAAGCACCTGATAAGGAAATTAAGTTAGAGATTGTTTTGATGACCTGAGAGCTTGACTGTAGTGCTCAAAGAACGACTTCTTAAAGTCGAATGCACACACCTTTTTTGAGTAGTTTTTGATGCGTTATTTCTCCTATTTTGAGGACTGACCACTGGCGATGGATGTCAGTGGATCAAGATAATTTGTCCCATTTTCGTGGTCAGTCAGTCAGTCAGTCAGCTACAATGTAGGACCAGGCACATATATGCATCGGTCCAGGTTGCCATACCGCATTAGCACAGCAAGATGAACACCGGATTCATTGGAGTAGTTAAGTCAATGGTGGTAATATATGAAAGATTGCATATAAGGATATAGTACAGGAAGAAAGATTTAGTACATAGAAAGGAAGATATGAAGCGATTTTAATCTCATAGTTTAAGGGCAGATAGAGAGTGTATACACCTACGCCATTTTGTTCGATTCTGAGCCATGTCACCAAGAGTCTCCGACCATTGGTTACGATAGTCGCGCGGACCGCGGCCAAGTAGTCTGCATCTACCAACATGGCTCAGACTAGAAGTTAGTGACTTTGTGGACTGATGCCACGTTTTGGTTTGGCCACCCCTAACTTTCTTCCAACCATCTCCAATACCGGATAGCATTGCACGTCGTGGTAATCGGTGTTCAGGCATACGTAACACGTGGCCCAACCATCTCAGTCGATGAAGATTCATAACCTCATCAACTGATTTACCATCATTCCCTAATACCCTGCGTCTAACCTCACTATTACTTACCCGGTGATCCCAGCAGATGCCAGCAATATTTCTAAGGCATCTGTGGTCAAATACTAATAGCTTACGAGTGTCTTCTACTCTTAATGGCCATGTTTCGCTGCCGTAAAGTAGAACAGAACGGACTGCCGTGCAGTATACTCGTCCTTTTATTGATAGACGGATATCTCGCCTTCGCCATAGGTGACGCAAGTTGGCGAAAGCCAAGCGAGCTTTTCGAATCCGTGCTGAGATTTCGTCCGATATCAGTCCTCTCTCCTCTAATGGAAACATCCTACTACAGTCATACTTTTGCAGTTTTTACTGTTGTCAGAAAGAACTTGCCTTGTGGATTGTGAGTTTACCACTTTTAGTTCTACCGTTTTTAACCAATTTCTTTGGACTATACTTCAGCTTTTGATTCTATACCAAGACGACGTTTAATTAACAAGTTGACCAGCGTCAACACTGACAGCTGGATAACCAACTGGCTATGTCCCTACCTCTCTGGAAGGGAACAGTACACTGTATTTGGAGGAAAGTGTTCAGAGTCCCCACTGTCTCATGAAGGTGTACCACAAGGAGCTGTTCTTTCACCTCTTCTTTTTTATTTTTTTCTGCATGATTTGCCATCTTCCACAGAAAACACTTTTGTGAAATATGCGGATGATCTCACTGTACTTATGCCTATCTCTTCCTCTTTACATCCCATAGAAGTGAATGAGTTTTTGTCTCGTATTGCTTGTTGGTCTGTTAGTAATGGTCTCATACTTAATCCGTCTAGATATCAAGCTGTTAACTTTAGCATGAGACATGAACGGAATCTAAACACTATTTTGAGATCCCATAATGCTTGTGTCATTGGAGACTCTTTGATAAACACAGTGTCGAAGGTCAATTATCTTGGTGTTACCTTTTCCTCTGATCTCTCTCGGTCTTCTCACGTTTTATTGTTATCGAAGATATTCCGTCTGAATTACTACATAAAAAGATTGCATACTCTTGTGATTACTCGTCATTTACTCTCACAATTTGTCAATTCTTGCATATTACCTATTATTCTTTACTGTTCTCCATTATTCTTTCCCGGGCTTTTGAGAAAAGACTTTGCTGTATTGGGGAGAGTGCTGAAGGCAGTTAGCAAGGTGTGTGGTGAAACTTTCGAGGTCATAATTAATATGGTTGTGGATAGACATCTAATGTGATGCAAACTCCTGGCAGGTGTTATTTTATCAGATACTAACCATCCCCTTCATTCTTGTCTTTCTCCTTGTATAGCTTCTGTAGAACGAGACGTAATTACTTTAAAATCCATGCACGCAAGCAAATGTATAAAGGTTCTATAATACCTCACCTAGCAAATATACTCTGTGACGAACAGGTTGTTAGAGTTCACCTAGTTAATAACCTACATTCTTAACATGTCTCTAATTAGAGAAGTTGTACAGGTTTTCAGTTTTTTTCGTAAACCTTTTTTCCTTTTTTTGTCCTTGTTACTGTTTTTTGCGTAAGTAACTTGTTGAAATACCCTGTGCTGAGAATTCTATATTGTACTAAAATATAATATTGAATAAAGCCATTAATAATAATAATATGATAAGAATTTCAGAGATGACTGTTTTCAGCTGATGTTTTCTTATTAGCTTATCATGTTATACAAGGCTGACCATCATGTCAGTGCAATAGCTACAATCGAGTGGCAATTCTTTTGTTTATAACAGTGTATTACAAAGAAAATCATTTAATATTTGAACTCATGTTTTTTTATAATTAAAATAACCCATAGTGTCATTGAATATGAAAAAGAGAATTCAGAGAAGAAAATTTTCTTTTCGATTGAAATCATATGGGCAGGCTAGTTAATTAACCAAATATTTTATTTATTATCGAATAGAAGTATGAATTATGCTTGGAAATCGTCATTGAATATTCGACAAAAATGTTCTGTGTGCTTTAATAGTTACTCACTTTATCGTAAAATACTCCATTAGATTATACATCATAAATATGACTACATTTTCGATTGGTCCTAATTTTATTACCTTGGGTGGTTATGCAATTCATAGTCGACATCATGGAGAATAGTAATAGTTAGATAACCGTTGTAAGCAGGGTGGACGCCATGTCATTTGTGAGGGATTTAGTTATCTATCAATGGCTTTGTAAGATGGTTGCGTACCATCACATACATTGAAGTTGGGCAATGATTTAAAGATAAATGGTTCGTTGTGATATCTTAAAGTCATAAACTCGATACTTTATAGGGTAGTGGGTGCGTTCCTTTAAAGAGTCCTATACTAATGCGAAACAACTTTTCATCGCTTTCTAATATAAGTAGTTTTTTAAATAACGTCACTCCATAATGTTGACTGGAATCGTTGAAACCAGACAATCTAATACCGTGACTTTATATATGTAATTATAGAAAAAAAAGAATAGATCAGTACGTTTATCATAGCAATTTTCTGATACACTTGATTGACTTGACCCTAATTTACTGTATTTGGTTCTACTTTTATTTGCGGTTTCAGTCAATAAGTAAACTCTTAGTTAAATTTGTTAATGAGTTGAAAGAGTTAACATCATGTGGTTTCTCTACATCATATACTTTTATCTAGAAGCTAGGTGATTTTTAAAAAAAAAACTATTAACTAATAGTATTATCATCATATATAGTGACTGTGATTAGTAGTAGTATTCTGTCATCAATAAAAAAATATTTCACTTGTGTTTATATTTCACTTTAAGATCGTTTAAGATATATCTTCATTTTGAGTCAATTTAGTTTAACATTTATTCATGCTGATAAATATATCACCTTTAATCAGGTCTCAATCTGTTACATTTTAGTAAAACGTCTGAATTACACCTATAAAAATATTGTTCTCTCCAGAAATCCTACTTTTTATTTATTCTGATTGATACAAATTATATGTTTATAGTTTATGTTACATTATCATGTATTAAAATTATTCAGTTTATTTACTGAAATAAGTACTTAATTAACTTTGATTTTTTTAATATAAATTACTTTTCAAACAGTGATAAAAATCGTGTTCCATCCTATTGTGATCGTATCATATGGTCAGGTGATGGTTGTGAACCAATTGTTTATCGTTCACATCCAGAATTTGTTTGCAGTGATCACAAACCTGTTTCTGCATACTTTTCAGTTGATGTAAGTAGTTTTTATATACATATATAGATATTTCTATAAACCATAATTCAGTAATCTAGGATAATATGAATTCGATAATTATTAAATTCATTGATGTGCAAATATATAACATTTCACCCGACCGTAGCTGCTACCTTGACGCGGTGGTTGGGCTTGCCTATCGTGATGACCCAACCGAGCTATATTGGCTGCAACATATGTTCCTATAGGTTCTACCATGCCATGCAGGTCGATTGGAGAACGGTAAGACTAAAAGCAGAAACTCAAGGTCTGAGGGTGAAGTCGTATTGATGACTATAGAGGGGTGTGGCAGTGTGGTGTGTGCTACTTATATTGACATAAGTAGTACATGATGTTAGTCGTCAACAGAAGGTCTGAAGGCAGAGACAAGAGGATCGAACAGTAAAGAATGGAAGCAAACTGCAATTTGTATGAAAATGCAAGACCAATGAATTCTGAATCATTTTGAGACAATCGATGAACATTTTGCAAATTAAGCATTTACTTTATGATTGTTAGATTTTATTAACAAGTCCTGTAATTGTGTGTTAAATACATTCGATTGTCCCTACTCGTGTTCTGTTCACAACAGCAGCAGTAGGGTGTTTCCCTCGGACAACCAGCATCTACAGCGATGCTGCCTTCTCACAAGGAAGGTGGGGGTTAGAAAAGGTCGACCCTAAAAATGTCACACCTCACCTTACCTCACGGATTTCCGTCTCCGGTGGTAAGGCCCTTTGAAGAATGGAGCTAATACATTAAAAACCTCCCACAAAAAGGCCGTGCGCAACCGGCCTCAAGCAGTTGTCCCTTGAACTCTGCGGTTTCACTCCCGGGTCGTTAAGACCAACACTAATCCGACTTCCTTTTCAGGTTTCTCAAGAAATGCCCTTATACGGTGTGGGAAACCGGGAAGTGATATCAGTCCTCATACCCATTACAGTACACGAGACCAAGTTAGTCACATCCAAATCCTTCCTACACATCCAAATAAATTTCGTATTTCCACGACTACCCCTTTTCCCGTCCCTTTATCACCTCGCACCACTAGGATAAACGATTCGAGTACGCGGGACGTTATTCCTGGTCTCCTGAAACCATACTCTAAACTACACATAGGAGGTTTTAACGTCGGAACACTATGCCAAATAGGACACCAGGTTTCCTTAGCTAGGACTTTAGAATCTCGCGCCATCGTTGTGTGCTGCGTCTCCGAAACGCGCATACAGGATCCAAGTAGCGTCATTCATTTAACCTCACCATGTCAAAGTAACCAACCAACTGGACTCACGCTTCGTGTATCTGGAAGCCCTGATGTTGCTTCCCGTGGCCTCACTGACGTAGGCATAGCATTGAGTCCTAGGGCAGAACTAGCTCTCTTATACTGGATTTCTGTAGACAGTCGTTTGTGTGCTGTCCGACTAAACGGAACAATAAGGACTCGGAAAGATAGGGACACTCGTCATTGCCTCTTCGTCGTCTCTGCCTACTCTCCCAATGACTGCAGCTCAGATGATGTAAAAGATGAGTTTTACAGAAAGCTTTCCTACCTTCTCCGAAAAGCTAGGCACTCTGATGTAGTAATAGCGAAAGGGAAAGACACCTGGATGGATTTTATAGCGTCGTGGGTCTATACTGTTGAAGTATCCCATAATGGGATGGAACAGTTGTCTAGTCTTCCTGGTTTTCAGTAGTTTCTCAGTTATGATAAAACTTTGACGTATGTCGAATGATAAATTGCTTATTTTTGTAGATCTCTCTCTCTATATATATATTTATATATATGTTCATCCTTATGTTCTGTTTTCTTTAATCTAGCTGCGTCGTATAATACGTTCAGCATTTCAACGTGCTTATGAATCCGTTTTACTCAGTATAGATTTAACCACAAATTTATCACTTCCACAAGCCGAATTGGATAGACAAGAATTAGATTTCGGTTATGTACATTTTCACGAATTATGCAGTCAATCATTAACTCTAACTAATATTGGCCTGAATGATTTTCAATTTAAATTTTTACGTGAAGGTGTTGGATCATTCCCACCATGGCTTTCAGTTAATCCATCATGTGATTCCGTGAAACAAGGTATGCGTTTACATGAGCAAATGAATGGACGATAATTTTTCGGTATCATTATAGCATAGACAGCAACTAATTTTGTAAAAGGATTTTTTAAATGTGATTATTATCACTACGAAGTTCTAATATCTACTAACAACAATACTGAGAGTGTGATATATAACTATTTTTACAGTGGTCATGTTTTCTTTATCATTAAGAAGAACAAGGTGATCTCCATTGTTGTTAGGAATTTGTGAGTAGTTGTCACTTCCCAGTTATCTATGTTTGAAAAGGTACTTCCTGCAGTGTCCGTTAGAGAAACTGGGTTGGGAGTGGTCTTGATGACTTGGGAGTGCAATGCTCAAGAGACAATTCGTTGAGGCTTATCACATACGGGCTTTCTGTGAGTAGTTTTAGATGTGTTCTGTTCTTTCAAGCTTTTAGCACTGGCGATGGATATCAGTGTGTCAAAACGAGGTATTACATTTTTCAGTTTGCATTTTCATCCCCCTCCTTCCGTTATTGTTAAAGTAGCAGTACTACAGATGTTGGTTTTGTGACGGAAATGACTTACTACAATCTTACCCTTGTACTTATACGAATTCGCCTTGTTTACCATATGGTTACTGCTTTTAGTCTTGTATCTCTCTAGCTAATCTGACTGATGTGATGGGACTTTCAGAGATGAATGTCTCAGTTAGTGTTGTCTGATTGGATCGTCAGGATATGCAAGCTCGGGATTTAGATGTGAACTCTTATAGTGTATCAATAATACGTAGTTGGTCTGAAAATTGTAATGTATCAACTTAGTACTGTGTGATTGTTCTAATCGGACATTCATTTTTCTATTTATTTTATGCATAAATAAAGTATGGCACTTAAAAACTTATCATTCACAATAGAGTATAAACAAGGTTTAACAAATATATACATATTGCATTTTGCATGGAAACTGAAAAAAATCCAGACGAAATATATTGATAAGTATTTACTTGATTTGAAAATAAAAATGGGAAGAATACTAAAGTAAATGATCAAAGTAGTAGAATAAAGTATTTGTAATGCTACTAGTACACTGGCCATCTGCCAGAGCTTACTGCTTTCAGTTAGGAATAACTGAGTTAATTTGCAAAATCGATCAAGTTTACTGTAAGTAGTGAAATGTAACTAATCATTTTTTGGGTTGGCCTATGTTTTCTATTGGTTTTCAATTTCTGGTTGGAAATTGATAGACTGACTAAACAATTAATTTGATAACATGTAAAAATGGATTCACCGGTTGCTTAAATGAAAGTTAATACTTAGTTATCATCCATCTTTTGTCAAGTTATCTTCATCCAAGCAGAAAAAAATGTAGAAAACATTTATGACTTGATTAACCACCAATCACCGTAGTGGTCGATACTCCATCGTTGCCTTATCCGAAATACTCTCTGTGTTGGGTAGTGGTAGTATAGGAGGTTGTTTTGTTTTGATAATAGTTTGAACCCTGTCATCTTCTTCGATTTGTGTGGCTGTTGAGTAATAGTAGTAGTATCAATAGCCGTCGAACATAAACTATATCTCTCAAAGCTCAGAATACAAACCTGTAATTAGTGAACGCGTTGCATAGCACGACTTAAATCATTTCTACAAAAGTATATTTCGCACTCCCCAATGATAGTTAAGATTGAGTTCGCTTATTGTGGTTTGGTTGATGTCTGCCTGTTGTTAGTCGGCAGGAAAACCCACAGGAAGCACCATATCCATCATGACTACAGGTACGTACACATCCCTGATGAATACAAAACGTAGATTAAACAGGATATTCTGCCAACTACCTTAAGCCATCTAACATCTCAACATACTGTGCATGATGTTAAGCCAGTTAGACTACTGGCTAAATCACAATTTAATCAACAGAATTTGATCAATAATAATGAACTAAATAAAAATGATATTGTTACTACTCAGTGATCGGTCTATTGTCTGCCTGTCTTTCTGTCCTTGAGGTCATTCAGAAGTATTTTTCAAGTTATAATCATCAACTCAACTCTATAGTTTATTTACTTCGAAGTATCCTTATCATTAGTATAATTTTGCATTAATCTGGATCGACTTTTCTGCTTGTATGTCTTACTAACAACCTATTTAACAGATTTTATTTTCGTATTAAGACTTATGAAGGTATCTTAGCAAGTCTCATTGTTTCATGGATTCTTCCCCATGCAAATTATAGTTCAAGCTCCACTCTTCACTGGTTTATTGTCATAGTATACAAACTCCTACTTCGTTACTTATCTACGTGAACTGGTAATTGGTTCTCTGATTAAGGAATTTGACTTTCTGTCATTGAGTTGTTGGCTCGAGACCCAATCCACTTATTTCCATTTATTTAACCAAGTAGTATTAATAATCCCTAGACTCAAAGTCAAGTGCACGGTTATGAATCTGATAAAATGAGTTTTTGAAAATAAGAAAAAAAAGAAGTATCAAATCGATTATTTTAAAGCAACTTAAAACAAAAATTTTGTCATATGACACATTTTTCAGTAATCATCATTTGTATTCTAAGTGTTAGTTGATGTTTTTAATTTCTTTACAAAATATAAAACAAAATTTACCAGTTGGTATGTAAATGGGCCCCAGGATCCTATATGAACAAATGGCCTATGAACCAATTGTTGATCACCGGCTACCGTGGGACTGCATCTCTTAAAGTTGCTCTACTACCTTGTGGATCAGACCCTTAGGTCGAAGGCTCCGGCGGTGGCCTCCTAAGAAAACCTCCTACTTCAGTCTGGGCACCCGGGCAGTATCACAGCCCACGCACAAATCAAGTGACTTGTATGGCGCATATGTATTTGGTGCCTCTTTGTACCAATATTTATGTGTTCAAATAAATATATAAAAAAGTTAGACCATTAAAAACCTGGAAGCACTGAACGAACGTTTCGTCTCAGTATATGACTCATCAGTAATGTGCGTCCAAGATCCTGCACGCTGGTCTTGAACCTGAGAACTTTGGTCGTCCCACTAATTCCACGTTTTTAGCGGTGGTCTAGTTTACATTGACTCGTGAATTCAGACGTTAAAATATTACAATCTCCACAAATCCCCATACTGATTTTTTTCGTCTTGAAATTAATTACTGACGTTTATTCTATTTGTTGATCGTCTCTTCTTTTTTTGTTTCTTGAAGGCATTTCTATTAAATTAGAATTTCAAATATTTGTTAATTATAAAGAAGTCTATGCATTGAATAGTGGTACTATTCAATTATCTACAATTGTTGTATTACAATTAGAAGATGGGAAAGATTATTTTATTTCAATTAATGCTCAGTTCATTCCAACAAGTTTTGGTTTACCATTAATTCTATTATTAAGTTTAGAATCAGACCCTGTAAATAAACTTTCGGTTAATGAATTACAAGATCAGGTAAACAAAAATTTTTTAATCTTATAAACATATGTTTTCTTTTCGTGTGTGTGTGTTGCAGGGGTAAAGGATAATGGTTAATTTGTTAAAGCCATATTCAACTTTTAGACACAAAGTTTCAGGTATAAACCTTACTCTAAACTATTTCAGTTTGAGCTATTAAATAGTATTATTAATCGTCACACACACTTAGAATGGTGATTCAAATTTAGTTACAAGTGTCTGTTGTCGATCCTCGTGGTAAATGAACTTATAAATGAAAGACAAAAATTTCGAACAATGAAATGGAGTTTTAAGTTGTGGGTATTTTGTTTCATTTTCGACTCACTGATTTTGCGTTATTTATACTCATATTGAAAATCAAACCCAGTACATAATAGCTTGCGCACTATCTCATTATCCACTAAGGTACTGACTGAGTCACAATATCCATTAATTAATTTATACAGATGTGTGTGTATTCAGTTCTTCCCAAGAGGTTGTAGTGCGCTTCTTGGACTCCATTACTAGCCCGTATCCAAAAGCATAATAAACATTCATCTAGAATCATCATTAAGCCATTCGTCCAAGTAATCTATACTTCGACACTGACTAAATTCTGTCTTCAATATCGAAAATGGGAAAACGCTATACCATTATGGACAATTTTTTGGTGATTTTGAGACAAACGAGAGGTATTTTCTGTAGGTGTAATATTTGAATTGAGAAGATAATTTATTATCATATGTTTTGAATAATTACTTTATCAAATGTTCTTCCATCTGACGTTCTAAATTTGAGTAGTATTATGTACATGACCTGGTAATTACGTTAGATATCCTAGGTATTTGACTCGAAACTGGTTGATATCCTTACGCTATGCTACTTTACAAGATCTTGTAACTGTTTTCCGTGAATTGAACTGTGAGTGACTTTACTTCTGCCAGACTATCCTAATGACTTGGCTAAATGACTTGTTAAGCAACACTGATAAGCTTCCTTGATAAGACTCATTCAGAGGTAAGAGGAATGATGGAAATACTAAGCTTTATATCTGATGATTCGTTTGACCCAAAAGTCTACATAAATAAATATACCAGCAACTGAAGCATACCTCACCATAATTTAAGAATAATACCGAAGTAGGGCGTTTAGGTTACAGAATTGTCACACTAGGTTTATTAGATTAAATTACAGTTATTTGAGAACCAAACATATGATTTTACCTTATAAGTCAAACAAAAGCTTTCTGAAGTAGGGAATTTTTAAAATGACTATCTTTTTTAAAAGGCCACGACGATAGTACACTTGTACGACCTATATTGTATTTTTCACTTTTTTTCATTCATAGATTTACGTAGGTAATGATAACGTTGTAGCATGAAAAGTCTTCGCTTGGATTCTTAAGTTTATGTCGTAAAATGTTCAATATATTGAGGACTAAAAAGCGCAGAATGACAGTCTATCTAGTAATTTTTTTTGGTACATTGATTGTCTTCTAGAATATCTAAGTGTTTAGAGATGATGACATTGTTCGTAGGGTCGTGAATAGATTAGGTGATATGTTAGATTTTAAGACTATTCTGGATATCCATCTGCAGTTGGTTGGAGCAGTGATTAATAGAAAACACTTTAGGGAATGTACAGGGGATTTCACTAGTCAGTCACAAATCATGTAATTCTTAATGCAAGTCATACATTGTTATACAATGGTAATGTAATGCATTTCAAAATTTCCTTTATTCGTTTTCTCAGTTTTATGCAAAGGAGAGCTTGATATATATACTAATCGGTACAAGTTGCTACGCTACACCAACTTACCCAGTTGAAATTATCAAGACGAGTCCTGAAGCATTAAAAGTAACTGTAATGGCAATTGTTATGACTTGTAGCCGCTCACTAACATCAATTGGTAAAAATACCAATCGGAATCTGTTTCAGTACTAATAATCTTGAGTCGGCGCTAAGCTCTTATTACTCCGATTCAGTAGCTTTTCTCCCTACCTTGCCATCGAGTCCAGAACACTAATATTTTATTCCAGATTTATGTGGTTTTTATATAGGCAGATCAGACCGCATCACACGATGAAATGAAAAATAGTCATCCAGGATCAAGCCAAAAGTGGCTGTGAGTATGGTAGACTGTAACTAATAAATCGGAAATAAATTAAGCATGGTAAATCTTATAACTGTAGTCGATAGGTCAAAAAAAGAATGCCACTATATATATATATATATATATATATATATATATATATATATATATATATATATATATATATATAGTGGCCTAATAGTACATAACTAATTCCTAGCAGTGATCAACCATTTATCCTTCGTTCGGATATGATATCAACTTATCCTTTTATCTATACTATTGTATCCAGTCGGTTACAATGAATTAAATTAAAAAGAATAAATAATAAATGTGATAACAATGTTTAATTTGAAATTTATCTCGAATAAAAATTACAGTATTATATTGTCAGTAAGTCAGTGACAACGTAGAACTTCTTACGTACTTACATCAGTTCGAGTTACCATACCACATTAGCACACACATACAATTGTCGATTCAAATCCCATAGTGGTAGAGGTAGTAAGAGTGTAAGCAGTTATCAGAAACACTAGGGTTTGAAGATGCTATTCAAGCAGTATAATCCAGTGAAACAAATTTGGAAAGTGAAAAAAGGGACACGAATAATTCAGAAGATTAGAATTTTGCAGAACACAAAGAGTGGATGCACCTGGGCCATTGCAAACGATTTTGAGCCACGTCATTCAAGGTCTCTAACCATCGGTTGCTATCATCTCGCGGATACAGTATTATATTGAATAAATAATATTTTGTTTAACTGAAAACTTTACAGTAAACATTTAATTGTATTTAAGACATATCAGTTGGATTTTCCACCTAGTATTTATTATCCGCTTTTCAGAAGTTCCATAATAGCTCTGTGTTGTAAATATATTTGCAGATATGTTTCATAGTTGACGAGTCCGAAACAGGACGAAACGCGCGTCTTGGATTCCACTACTAGCCACCATCCACCTCTGCTTAAAATGTTCGATAGTGAAGTTCTTTTTGAAAAAACATCGTTCAAACTTATTATTATCATATAATAATAATAATAATAATAATAATAATAATAATAATAATAATAATAATTTCTATGTCAGCTTATACGGTTATCGCGAAATACGTTTGCCAATTTAGATACACTGACTTATACCACCAAACAAATGACTCATACACCAGTACGAGCAGCCTAGAGTTCCAATTGACCCATTTTCCGCATCGCCCTGCCTGTTAAGTCCAGGACGCCAATCTCAGCCTCCGCGATACGAATCATATATTTCAAACATACTTGGTTCATATACAAACAAAATCAGACGACATCACACCATAAAATGGAAAATAACAATTGTATAAAATCAAACCAGAAAGTGTTTGTGATTGTTAGAAACTGTTACTAATAAATTGGGAATATCTGAAGAATAGTAAGTCATATGATATACTAGTCAATAGGTCAAATTAAAGCTTATAATGAAAGGAATATGAATATACAAATAATATAGTTACTTAATATTCATACAATAAGAATATGCGTATAATATTAGTCCATAAATAATTACTAACGGTTACCACTCATTATTCTTTGTTCGGATACCATAATAATAACAATAACAATAAAGGTATTATTTTTTTATCTTTACAATAATTATGACAATAATTTCTATTGTGTATTGAATGTACTTTTACGTGTTTAATGAAACTCATTGATTACCTTCAACGTACGGAATTTCTCTTTTCGTTAATATTTAACTTTTTCTTAACATCATCTACAATGTTATTGTTTTCAATTTAGAACTATAGATTTATTGAACATTGAATAGTTTATTTATGGTAACACAAAAATGATCATGATTTTAAATTTTATAACTGTAGATCCAGATAAAGATCTTATTGCTCTAATACTGTTTATTTTTTTTAAATATAGATATCTAAAAACTGTGTTTTTAATGTTATGCAGTTATTATTGAGTTATTTCCAGGTTATGATTGATTTCATTTATTTTATTGTACTTATCATCTAAT